CTGTGGTTGGCCACTCTGAGGGTCCTGTGTTTATTTCTCATTCCCTAGGTCTTAGTGCTGGTTAAGACTTGGTTAAATAGTACCTACTAATACAGGTAATCACTGCATCTGTAGGAGAAACTTCTTCTCCTTGGTTGACATGTCCCAGGTTTTGTCCCTGTGAGTGTGCTGGAGGTATCTGCATTTGTTCACTAAGAGAAAAGAGAAGGTTGGGATCAATCAGGGACAGAAATAAGTGGTATCCTCATGTGGGCTCCCCATATTTTACTGACAGAATAAGAGCGAGGGAGGCTGCAGTGCTGGGCAGCAGCAATAATCCATGTTTCTTATTAGTCATCATTCTGAAAAACAGTCAGATCAGCCAGTCCAAGGAAGGGACCTTGGCACCAACCAACCAGTTGGTCTGGCACCAACTCCTGTTCTCCAGGGAATATGAGAACCCTCTGAAAACAAGGATAGGACATTCAGCAGAGCTGAAATTTCTCCCTCTTAAGTCTGCAACATATTGTGTTTCTATATCCACAAAATTAAACTATCAGTTCTGCTGTATCAAGTACCTCTGTCTGGAACACCCCACCTGAAATCACTTTCTCCTACCTCATCCTGTCACCACAGTTTTAATTTCAGCTGATGTTGGCAGCCAACAGGCAGTTCCTTTGGTGGGTGCTTGTGGCAGGACATCTACCCCCGCTTTTATCACAGATAGGACATAAACAGATAATTTGGGCTGAAAGGTTCAGCAAGACTGCATCTCCAGTGCCAAAGGAGCACAGGCCTTAGCTAAGGATCAACCTCTTAGTCTGGGGAGAAGTTGTGGGAAGAGATAAAAGAGATATTCTTGACTGACTCTTGTTTTACAAACTGTAAAAGACACATGAGTTGTCACCAAGGCAGAAACCTTCTACATACACACACACCCTCAAAGTGTTGAAGACCTTTCCCTGGAGTCTGAACACAGGTTCTGTGGTTGCTTCCCTGGGGACTGAGGGAAAGGATCTCCATGTGCACTCCACCAACAACTGGATGGTAAGAGATATTGAATCCTAAATTATTTCTTCACTGTCTGTAACATTAATAGGTATCTTTAACCTCATGCTGTATTTACCTACTAGTAGTCTCTTTTTGTCCTTATTCCTGTGTATGTCCTTATTCATTATTTAAGTCTTATGTCTGTTAGTTTTCTGTCTATTAAAAAAATAATTAATTCTGTAATAGACTGAATCAGCAATAAATTAAGACATACCTGCTTAGACTAGAAGTGGTAAGATTTCCTCTGTTTCACAGGAAGTAATGAAGCCTTTTAGTGTATATTTCTACTCAGCACCATGTCCTATTCTTCTACTTTTTCCCCTCACCCATTTTAATGATCTCTTTTATGCTGGAGTATCAAGCACCAAAACAATTCGGTGATGGGGATCCCTGGCGTATAAAAAATATTTTTTAAACTTTTGTTTTTTTCCTGGAAATTTCACTGTACAAATCTTCTTGCACTGGAAACACAAAAAACCAGAGACATCAAACATATGCAATGCCATTTATTGAAGCTTGAAACAAATATGTCATCATAGTTTGCTTTTTAAACCTTGAAATGTTAGAACAAGCTGTGAATGTGACAAATACACATTTTTTTCCTGAGCAATCTGTTGAAGCTGATGTGTCTCGGGCTAATACAATAATATAATATTAATACACCTCTGCAGTTAGTATTCAATTCAGTTTTGAGACTAATGACCATCTGGGTTTAGATTATAAATCCACCTTTACTTAAGAACAGTTGTGTCATAGTAGCAGTGGCACTGCTCTGTTAAAAAGGTTCCTGTTGTCACAGTATTTTCCCTAAAGTTTTAAGCTGAGAAACAGTAATGACTGTATTTCCCTGGGTAGAAAGATTATTCTGACTAATGTCCATAATATCATTTATTCACTTTTTATTCATTTCAAATGAAATAATAGCTCCCTGAAGAAAACAATGAAGGCAGAATTGGTTTAACTCTATACTAGCCCTAAGGAGCACTGGAAAGGATAACTCTTGCAGGTATTTTCCTCCAACCTGCACCATATCCACTCAGTCAGCTCTTTTCTCATTAGCCCACATACCTGGTGGCCTCCTTCTGCTGACCTCTGGATAAAGTGTTATGCAGGCACCTCTACACAGAGTAATCTGACACACAACTCTGTCCTGCCCAAATCCCATGGAATTCTTCTGGGAATGTGAGGAGCACCTGCACTGCCCACCAGTCCAGGTTGTTTGGCTGTCAGGGAACTGCTCTACACCATGCAGCCCCAGCCCAAGCCCTGCCCAAATTCTTCCTGAATCAGGCGGGACACTTCTACTCCTGCACATGATTCAGTATTTCTGTGCCCAGAGGAGTAAGAACTGCCCAGATTTCTATTGCTCAAAGGGTCCCCAGAAGGAGAGAAGCAAACTGTGAAACTTAAAAGCATCATGTCTGGCATTGGCCAGCAACACCACAGACACAGACTATTGTAAGAGTGTGTGCATACACACACGTGCACCACTGCAAGTCATCCCCATGTTAACCTAGCACCACATTTTAAACAGTGGATTTTGTTTTATCAGCACCTAAAACTGGGGTTATATTGCCATCACAGAGGTTACTGAATCTAACCTTACCATGCTGCATATTTTGAACTCCCAGAGACTTCAAGTGAAGAAGTAAGTCCTTAGCCAAAGGACACAAACCTTTGAAAAATGGTAATTCGACTCGTGGCCACCATTAGGTTAATACATTATAGCCAGGCTGAAATACTTCTATTAACTTTCATAAAGGCCTGTCTAGAAAAAAAAAAAGCTACTGCTAGTCATAGTTCTGTAACCACAGTGACACTTGGATTCATGACCATGTGTCTCACCATATACTACATAAAATGTGCATTTACCTGTACTACAGTCTGAAATTGTAAGGTAGGGTAAAGTAGGGTGAAAATCTGAGATTTTTCAAAAAAGCCAGAAGAACGAAGGTGTCCAAATCCTACTGAATTCCAAAGGAATATAAATGTCTTCTCTCGTCCAGCTGTCTTCAAAATACCCAGCTTTGTTCAAAGGGTCCAGTCTTGGTTCCCTGAAGTTTGTTTTGGCAATTTCATCACTAGCAAAACAGATACGCTATTTGGCTAGTGGTGCCCTTATGCCTGAGGCCTGAGCTACGCAGATACTATTCTGGGCCTCAGATTACTGTTCCAGCAGCCCTCAGCTCCACTGTGATTATGGATTTACACTGCGGGAAAAATCCGCTGTAACTGAGGTGGTAGAGTGCTCTTGTGAATGTGGGTTTATGCTCTGTTGGGAGATATTGGATGAAACAATAGCTTTATCACTGAATATCTGTGTGAATTACAGGGTTTCCAGTTGCTAGCTGGCCTTTATTCTGATGGAGAACAATTGATTTGAAAATGTAGCATGAGACATTTCCACCTGAAATGCATGCATGCCATATCAGAAGCTGCAGACAAGGTCTGTAAAATTGAATTCTATCATGTAAGTTAACATGAAATTAGAAAAACTGAAATGGGCTACCTCATTGCTCCTTCCTTTTTCATTTGTCAAATAACAGAAAGATTCCAGTTTCTAAATGCAAAAGACTCAACCTCCAATTCTCCTTACCTACATCAGCTTAGAAGTCTTTTGCTTTCTCACTATGTGACCCCTTTACTCTTTGCGCTGTAAAAAGTGGAAACCACTACAGTGAAGCTTCCTGATTCCTCTGTTCAGTATCTGTAACATTCTTGAACTAAATGGAGCTGACCACTGACATGAAACTGGTGGAAGTGAGAAGTCAAGAGAGGGAGAACACCACCCTTTCCAAAGGGTAAGTGTTGAGGTTAAATTTTAGTTGCAGAATTAGCTGGTACAACCACTATGTTCCATCAATTTCCAGACAGCTTTTTGTGCCCTGCTGACATGTACCATTTGTATCTGAATACCTGCAGCTATAGAGACTGGACATAGTTTTGACTTGGTTGTGTTATCTAATCTCAAATGGCCTTGGATAGTTGATTTTAAATGGAGAGGAACTATAGATGATAGTTAAGAATGTTACTGTCTGTCTAGCAAAAGATCTGCAAAACCCATTTTTCCTTTATACTAAAATTATTCTATCAGATGGAATGTATAAAACTGTCTAAAAGATATTGCTGGTTTCTCCCCTAAATGTGTAGAAAATATGAGCAGATATGGCACTTAGGGGTGTGGACTTGGCAGCACTGGGTTAGAGGTTGGACTTGTTGATCTTAAAGGTCTTTTCCAACCTAAATGATTTTATGACTATTAAGGTGGTAGATGCAAACAACTTGGCTTTTGTGGTACCAAGAAATGCTGCTTAAAACATATTTGGGAACTTAACATCCCATATGTTATGGGATTTTCAATTTACAGCAAGACATTTGTAGCAGAAGAAAACTGTCAAGAACAGGTGATGGCTGAGGTATCCTTTAGAGGTTCAGTCAAGTACTGAGCTAATATTTTTTTTTCTTCCTGAAAAAACCCAGTATTTCAATTCATCCTGCCTATCACAAGCAGTTTTTACAAAACTCTGCTTTTAAATTTATGAAGTGAGCAATGAATTTAGAGAAAAACTGCCACTTCACCTTTATTCCTAAAAAAGAAAGGCAAGTGAGCATTAAGAGAACTGGCCCATGGTACAGGTATGTCTGTTGCCCCAAGGGCCACCTTCACTAAGCACTCTTGAATAAGCAGGGCTGGTGTTTCAAGTAGGTTTTGGAAAAGAGTTGGAAGAACAAGTTAAGCACTCATTACAAAAAATCAGAAAATTCTTGCAAGCCTGTTTCTAGTGCCTATGCATGCCTAAGAAATACTAGCTGCTGGTACATGGAAAATTATGTTACAATTTTAGGACTATTACAGAGAAAAACTGAAGCAGTAAATTATGACTGATAACCCTAGGCAATGTATTTTCCCAGTTTTGATCACAGATTTCCATTTATGCTGGATGGTTGAGAAAAACGTAGGGAACACAAAACCTGTAAACAGAAGCTCTATTCAAGGAAACAAGAAAAGAAACAGCTACTGCCAAGCTGCTTGGTTGTTGTTCCCTTGGTTTTGAGGTGGTTTTCTTCTAGATTTAGTGTAATTTTGCTGTTTGAAGCCTCGCTGATCTCCATGTCTTGCTTTGCTTCTAATTCTACATGTGAAGCAGCACTGAGTCTGTATTGATGGCAGCAAGCACTTGCCAATGCCTTTCAGCCTCTGGCAGAAGTGAACTGACAGCTGGTCTTTGCTGCAGGGCAGCCCTGTGGGGAAGAAGATGATAAGAATTAGCTGTAATTTGCTGACACACTCCCTGTATTTCTAGAATTTTTATTTGTGCCAGACAGTTGTGTCTATTAAGGGTCTTTCTTATGGTGGCTTTCTCTTCCCTGTATTATGGGTCAGCTTGACCTCCCTCTGAAATTCTAGGATCTTTTAGTGAACACAAGACCTTCTGTTTTGGAAAACACAGCACTCATGACTGTTGAGCAAGTCTACTTTTGTGCCAGATACAGCTGATCTATGTTTTCCACTTTGACTTTTCTGCTGATAAGGACTGCCAGAGAAAGTCTGGCAGCAATGATTTGGGTTTGGTACTTTTGCGTTCTTGTAACTGCCCCTAAGACAAGCAGCATGGGCTGGCAGAGTGCTGCACAGCCAGTCAGGGCAGGCAGGAGAGCACAGACAGTGCACATGCATGTTCAGCTTGGCTATGCTTTAATTCCTGCAGCATCAGAGTACAGCAGGGACTGCTGCTGTCTGATAGGTCTCTGGAAGCTCTAATGAACTGAGATGGGCCAGATTTAGACAGGTATCAGAAACTGAAGGTCCTCAGCTGTGAGAAGACAAGGTGTGCAAAAGCAAGAAGATGGTATATTAGCAAGGCTGTTCTCCAGCAAACCCCTCAACACTGAAATTGGAGAAACTCAATGAAAACTTGTATAAAGGTAGTTTAAAACAGATGAAAGCAGGTTTTTTTCACACCAAGCTGTGAACTCCTAGAATAGCTGTCCTCAGGATATCCAGCCCCCAGAGCTGGAAGTTAGGGATAGGCAGCAGAACAAAGCTTCCATAATTCAGGAGGAGATGGTTAGGGACATGTTTTGCCAATTGAGACACTCACAAGTCTACAGCCCCAGATGAGACTTGTCCCAGAGTAACGAGGAAATCTATGTGAGAAAACTTGCCAAACCACTCTCAGTCACCTACCAGCAGTCCTGGTTAACCTTCCAGCTGACTGGAAACTAGCAGATTTAATGTCCATTTACAGGAGGGTCAGAAGGATGATCTAGGGGATTACAGGTCTGTACAGTTACCTGAAAGGAGTTTGTAGTGAGGTGGGGGTCAGCCTGCTTTGCCACACCTACAGTGAGAGGAATGGCCTTAAGCTGAGACAGGGGAGGTTCAGAATAACTTTAGAAAAAATTTTTCACTGTTACGGTGGTCAGGCATTGAATAGGCTGCTTGGGGAGGTGGTGGAGTCACCATCCCTGGAGGTGTACGAGGTGTCTGGATCTGGCACTGGGTGATGTGCTTTGGTGGTTCAGGGGGTTACAGGGGCACTGCTGGGTGCGTGGTTGGACTGCAGGGTCTCTTCCAACCTTGACGATTCCATGATTCTGTCAACTTGCTGCCCCGAGAGGGTGGAAGCAGACAGCATCACAGCATCAAAAAGAGTTTGCAACATATTAAAGGAAGTTTAAATAAAAATGCACTACATGGAGAACTCTTAATAGTCCTAATATATGTCAGTTGGGAATGCTGGAGGACTATCACGGAAATGAATCTCAGGAAAACACCACGCTCCTGCATTCCTACTAAGCAGCATTTTTTAATGCCATTGTTGGAGACACAAGGGTGGGCTGCACAGACCAGTGCTTACCCAGCAGGGCATTTCTTATGTTTTACAGGCTGCTTGAGCTTTTATTCACAGAAGGAACTATTACTAATATGTGTAGGCGGTATTTATCTGACTCTATCTTGCTGAACATGGGAGGGACAGGAAACAAGCAGACCAATCCACCCCAGGGAAAAACATGTGCTAAAACTCTTTGAAAAGCAGCAGGACTGATGCATCACTCTCAAGAGCATGTCAGATCTGCACTACCCTCAGGATTCAAACCATTGTCTCACTCTCAGATTAGACCCTTAGCACTGACTAATAGAGAAGATCATGCTCCAAAAGGCTTCTGAAAGTTTTTCTACAACTTTTTCTAAAACTTTGGAAGTTTTTCTAGAACTGTGAGCCATTGCTGTTCTTAGAGGGGACCTGCTGGATACAGCAGTACACAGACTGCACATAAAGATGTGTATCCTTCCATAAGCTTCCCCCTTCCCCTGATGCCTTTTTTTTGGGCTGTAAACCATGTACACAGCTGGTCTCCTTTGAAGGTACAGGACACCCCCACAAGTACTCACAAGAGTACTTCTCTCCACCTCTTGATTTTCAACAGTCTCACCCAGCAGGACACTGTTGTTTTTTTTACAGTATCTGTTAGAATTTTCTTGCTTGCACTCCCGGTCCAGAACTTACAGCTTCCATAGAGCGATCTATCTTAAGAAATTGCATCTGTTTGGACTCACTGTGTGTCCTTCCACAGCCCTCATTGCAGCATGAGGTACCTAAAACAGGCCAGCACAAGCAGACCTACTAATTTAGCTGTGCCATCATAAATTAGGGATGCATGCTCTGAGGCTGCACTCCCCACCATGGCAGCACAAGGCCAGAAGTGCTGGAAGAGAAAACAGTGTGGTTCTGCCAACAGAGCAGCTGAGCAGTAGCAGGCCACGGTGACCTGTAATCACTGAGCCCACACTACTCAGAAGAAGCTGATAGATTGAGTCAGCTCTCACTTATTGCAGAATCTCAGCACAAACTGAGAGAAAACTGTTCCATGCAGGTGTATTACTTTACCTGTATTTTTCCTGCAGTCTTGCAGATTACATTTCTGATGTTTTGTGGGCTTGGGTTTATCCGTGCACATACTGTCATCTTCAGTTTCATTAGTTTCTGTATTCATGCATTCCACGGTTCTTTGCTGAATTCCCCCTCCACAAGAAACAGAACACTGAAAAATTTTAACATACATAAATTTTTTTTCATGGAAACTTTGTAACATGACAATAGTTGAGCTGTGATGTGACAGGAAGCTAAAACTGCTATGTGATCCAGAAGCAATGGCATTACAGTACTCTGTGTACTGTATGCTCCAACCAGACACCACCATGGTGCATTGTGGTCACATTTGGCAGGATACAGTAGAGGGTAAATAGTACAAACACAGCATCTTGGAATGTGTAAATAGGGGGGAGAGGACTGTTTTCTACAGAGGAGGAAAAGGCTTACTTTGCAGTGTCAGTTCAACAATATAAGAGACTCATAAACCAAATTCATACAAATTAGGATGGTTTTTGCTTCCTGTGTTTTCTGAATATCTAAGTTAAACATGAATAACCAATTGTAATGTTAGGTCTTTAAATGACCAAGCTAAGATTTTTAAAAGAGCCTCAAAAGGTTTTGTTTCTTTCCTGGCTTTCAAACAGAGGTTACCCTTTTTTTGTGATCATGAAAGAACTGCCAGATGCTTGTTCTGGCTGCACACAGAAGGCCATAAAACACAAACACTTTTAAAATATCTTCCTGTACCATTCTGTAAATGTACTTGACTCTAGTGACTTCCCAGAGTGCCTGAGAATCCTGATTAGTTTCAATTTTTTTTTCTGTACAGATAAATAATGCCAGCAGATAAATGAGATAAAGAATTCAGCAGATAGAGAATGTCAGTAAATGAAGCACAAGAGATAAAGACAGGAGTGGAACCTCTGCCATTTTTCTGCAAATTATCCCCTCTCTAATGTGTATCTCTGTACATGAAGCACAATAGTGCTGGCATGAGGTACACTGAAATACCTTAAGTATTCTTGCAAAAACTTTATATTGATGTTTAAAATAGATTTTTATAAAGTAAAATCATTAATGAATACATTGATATGGGATTAATAAGTAAAGTAGTTGGTATAATGTTTGGTATTCTGTTGCTAATTTTATGTGTTTCATTTCCATATGTAAGTGTTACACTAACTCTACATTACATAATAGTCATGTCTCATCTAATGGCCTGTGTCAAAAGCAACTAATTGAATTTTCTGTCTTAAATGAGATTACAGTGTTTTCTGATTTGTGGCTCCTGCTTTTAGCATTCCTTCAGTATCCCATTCTTCTGTGAGGAGCTCTTGTAATGTATGCAGTGTTTATTAAGGAAACTAGAGAGAAAGGTTTATTAGATATACTAGTTTCCTTATAGATAAATATGTATAGCAGATACTGGAAGGTTCCCCAAAGATATACCTCATATTTGTCAATAAAATTTCCAGGTACTAAGTAGGAGACAATTGGCAAAAATTCAGAATTTCTCTTTGTGTAGGCAAGTACAATATTCCCCAAAGTTGTTTTGAGGATCACCCAATCCCCTCAATAGCTTCAAACAGTGGAAAATTTCAAACGTGCAGTGGAAGAATGTTACTGGTAAAATTCCTTTGTTCTTAGACAAGATAAAAAAATCCCAGACTTCCAATGACATCTAATAAAGCAACAAAAAATAGAAGCTACAATATCTGTCACCTGAAGGAACATGGGCTGGCTATGAAATGTGCAGTAATGTTTTCAGAAGTTCTTCTCCTGCAGCTTCAGCTGTGCATAAAAACTGTACTTGCCACAGGCGCTGATGTTGAGAGACAAGTGGATAACATGACCCAATGTGGCCAACTCATGACAAAAAGTAAAACAGAAATAAACTGAATCCTACCGGGCTCCAGGCCTGGTGAATCCACTGTGTGCAAGGCTGGCTGTTACACGACACAGTGGTGTCAGGTCTTTGGGTCCAGTCACAGTGCCCTTCCCGCGGGCAGGAGATGTGCCGCTCCTGCTGGCCACCACCACACGTCCTCGAACACTGGCAAAAGAGGGGCACAGTCAGAGAGAGCCAGGAAAGGGTGAGGAACCAGAAACAGATCACAAAGATGGCTGGACACGTTCATCCAGAAATGTGGGGCCACAGATAACAAGAACCCAGGGTCACAGGCCCATGGGTTTAGAAAGATGTACAGGCTAGCCAGCACATCAAGTCCTGAAGTCCAGGCATGAAGAAAAGCTCTGCACTGAGACACTTATTGCATGTGCTTGGAAAGAGACTGAGAAAAATATGACACTTGAAAATCTGCTCCTGGCACATAATACTGGAAGGACTAAAGGGCAGAGTAGAAGTGGCAACACAGAACAGGCAGCACAGAACTGCTCATCAGCATCACCAACACCAGTAGCATCTCAAACAAGAATTAGAAGTCATATGTCTGCAGGATTAATCTGTAATATTAAATGAAGAAAGAACAAGTTCATAAAATGCAGCATCTCATTTTTATGAATTGGTCTGGGACATTAAAATTCAATCCATACAACAACTGAACTCTTTGGTAGTAAAAGTGTCAGCAAAGATAGTGACCCAGGTTATTTTTTAAACATTCTTCTGTCTACATCCTACAATTACATAGCCACTGATTTCTTACTATTTTTTCACTAAGTCTGTAGTAGGGTCTGCTTGAAATACACATAGTATTTCATACTCTGATATGAAATAAGGTATCGAATATACTTTGAATAATGTACTGTTACTGTCCTACAAGGAATTGTATGGACAGAACAATATATATGACATGTGATAAATGAACCTTTTCAATCCATTTCTATCCAGTGTCCTTAACATGAGGACAACTGCCAGGGTTGGACTAGTGTTTTTATAAATTATTTTAAGTGGCAATCAAATGCAATCATTTGGCTGTTTTTATTTTTCCAACCCCTGCTTATTGTGCTGACAGCATACCCTGGTCTCCTCCAGGTGTGATTTGCTGGTACCCTGTAAAGAAAATGTGATCACCTCCCTTAAAATCCCAAAGCACTAGGTACACAGGGCTGCAAACATCAAGACACTTTCTCCAGAGCTGCTTTCAGTGGAGATAAATCCTAAAATATAATCAGGCCACGTGCTTTAGCTGACATAAATATGTGCCTGGCTGCCTCTGAGTTTGTTGGCACAGATTTATATTACAAAGGGACCCAAAAGTCAGATTTATATTATGTCTGGTGTAAGCCTTTGCTCCATAAAATTTCAGTACAAAAGTGTAAAGGAAAATTCTAAATTTGCAATAATGAGAAGGCAACATTAAAACAGCAGCAAAAAGGATTCATATAAATGAACCACATTTACTGATCCAATAGGATTGCTGGAACACATTTTCTTCCAGGCCATCTGCTTCTCCCTTTCAGGATATGGTAATTTACAGCTCCAGCTGTAAATCACACACAATCCTAAGAATGATTCTGTGAAGTCTTATGAACACCTGTGCTAATTTTTGCTGTAGCCATACACAGGAGCTCACAGGCTGTGTGTCTTCCTTGGAGCAGAATTCTACCTGACAGCACGGCTTCCAACAGCTGCTGTTACCTGAAGGGAAACTGCTGATTCACAAAGCTTCTTTTAAAGAACAGTACCTCACTCCAGGACTCCACATGCCATTGCAAGCAAGGTTCTGTGTTACAACTAGTGTTGAACTGTGGTTTATAGCCGAGTAGCTGGCAATGGAAAGGCCTGAGCAGCCGCTTTTCCCGAACATCAATGCAGTGAACGTCTCGGGTCTTGAAGCCTCCGCTGCAATTCACAGAGCACTGTACACAAAACAGAGAGGGGCACATGATGATCTGCTGAGGGACTGTACCTTCCCCAGACACAGAGCAGGAGGACAGCCTGAGCTTTGAGCATCCTGAACAGAAGGAATTTCCAGTTTACTGTAACACCAATCCGTCGTGGGGCTCAAACACTGGTTTTCCTCACAGCAGCTTGAACATGCCATGTAAGTACTTCCCCTGCTACACTGCTATGGCCATGAATAATATGGGTACGTATCTAATCAGGAAATCTTGCCAGCTGTTTACAAAAATGTCACAGTGAAAGAGTCATAATGCAATAAATACAAAAAATGGATTCTATATGCAGGGATATTGTCAGTTCCTTAGTTGCTTCAGTGAGACGAGAGGAGTGAGTAGCAGTTTCCCACCCTCACCTTCCTTGTCCCTCCATGGCACCAGGAGATTCCATACCCCAAGAGCAGCCTCAGTTTGAGAGTGTGGGAGGGAAGGGAGAGGCTCCCTGAGCCCCACTCAAAGCCTGTGAAATCAATGCTCAGCTTAGAGCTCTGATGAGGAGCTATGTGAACCCTTCCAGCCTCCTTTTTCTAGGCACAGCTTCTTCCAAGCCTCATGCAGCATCATCAGGTCCTGTCTCCAGGCACCAAAATTCAGGACATTTCCTGCTCTTGAGGAAGAACTGAAGTTGCCACCCAGGTCAAGAAGTGCACTTCAGCAGATTCCTGAGAGCAACCTGCACTTTTGGGGCCCAGCACACGCTTGCTAAAATTGCTGACAGAGCAGGCAAAGACATTCTTTTATACATTCTTTTATACATTCTTTTGCAGAGAATTCTGAGCCTTTACTGAGCCTTGAAGGAAGTCCAGGGACAAAGATGAAACTGGGTTGAGGGAACAGGGTTAAATATTGGGAAAAGGGGTGGATCTGAGGGTCGAGGGTCAATACGAACAGGTAAAAGTGGTGCAGAGGAGGGGCAGCCAACTAGGGGAACCAACAGGACAACAGGGGTGGAACAATGCAGCAAATCAGGGCCAATAGGGATCAGAAAACGGAGAACATTCTAGGGAACTTACAAATAAGGTGAAGAGGGGCTGAACAGGGATGGGTTCAACTGTATGTACCGATAGAACTTAAAACATTAACATGAGTCTGCAGAGGCCTATGGGAGGGAGGCTCTTCTCGCCCTAATCTTAGACAGGTGTCTCTCTTTACTTGTTTTTGCCCCTCCAGGGTTGAGGTATCACTGCCCCACTGGCAGGCCTTTGAGCCTCCACACCCAGGGATAAGGAAAAATACGTGTTTTGTCTTCAAGCAGAATTAAAGCTAATTCCAACTGCAGCACTGAAAGCTTCTAACATCACTTTTCACCTTTACCAGTATGATGCAATAGCAATTGATTCTGTTCTCCTTTGCACAAATGAGCATCCTTTAGCTGAGCAAGGAACCTGAATGTAAAACTTGCCCTAAGAGATGAAGAATGGAAGGAAAGGGAATCCCATCTCTTGTCCACAGGACATATTTCTGACTGGATAGAAACGGTGAACAGAAGTAAGCGCATAAGAAACTGAGTACAGCAGTCTCAAAATATATGCAAATTATATCTGGCACCAAAGACAGACTTTAAGATTTAGTCTGAAGCACCTTTCTCTTAGGGGAGGGGAAAAATTAAAGAAGAAGAAGTAGAAGAAGTAGAAGAAGTAGAAGAAGAGAAAAAGCTCTACAGCACTAGCAGGGAACCCAGACATCATGTGTGGCGACATTTCTTAAAAATGTTTGAAATGAGTAACAAAAAACAACTGCCACCTATAAAGCAAAATTTAACCATTTTTATGTATGAAACTGTGATTAGGTTTGTATAGTTCCCTTGATGGAAAATAAGGAAGGTAACACAAATCTGATAGGAGAAGCCTCTTGCCTCAAACTTGTTTCATAACTGGCCTGACATTTTAAAATATTTGCTTCCTGTTATATTTTATCATTAAACCCGATTGCTAGCTATTTTTTGTGACATGACCATCATTCACTTGTTGCAAGAGCAATGACATTTATGAAGAAAAAGTGAAGGTGAAATTGCCCTACTGCAGCTGCGAGGGCAGGATGTCTATGTATCTTTCAAAATTAATTTCAAGGGCTTAAATGTAGTTATGTAAAGCCTTGGCCTTTCCTGAACTTTCTAAAGAGGCATGTAATTCCTGTACAAATCAATTTTATGTCTAAGAGCTCAATAATAACACAGGTTTTTTAGCTATAACCTTATATTTGTATCAACCTGCCCTCTAGCCCAATGGCAACAACTGTGGCCAATTGTCCACAAAAATGGTCTGTACTGGAAAACTTTGAGACACCTATCTTCTTCCTTATTCAATCAACAATATTTAAAACAGAATTTTGTAGATTATCTCTTTTTAGTCTTGAAAAATAACCTGTGGTTTGAAACTCAATTTTCAGACTGCATGAAGACAAAATGTAATAAGCTTCAAAAAGTCACCAAAGTCCTTCCAGGTGTTCTTCACACAGCTTAAAATACCAAAATGGGACTCAAGCACAATTCTTTGGGTTCCACTTAGCACCCTGGACACTCTCCTGTCCCTTGACTATGGCTACAAAACTAGGACTAAGCAGAATCCTACAAACAGCATGCATTCTGTCTAGTACAATTTGCCTTTATTTTCTTTCCGTTGTAAATGTAAATGTAATGTAAAACCTAGAGGTTACATGAATGGGGAACAGACCATGTAATGTAAAAAGAGATAGTACATGATGACAAGAGTGAATAGGAGCTCAACAACTCCCTCTCCCAAATTCCCACTGCTTCTTAAAATTAGGATATGCCCCTGGAGGCAGAGATTAAAAAGATGCCACAAGCAACTATGTACAGCTTTTCCCTGTCATCTCTATAGAACACGAGCAGTAAGTCCTGCTTTGGCTGTAGATGCAAGAGTTAATGAGCACAACCCACCACAGGAAGGACAAAATTCACAGCAGATGTGTTTCCAGATTTAACTTGGTCAGGAAATTAGTAAATTAGAGCTGAATGGTCAACTGGGAATCATGTATGCATTCACTGAGTAAATAATTGTTTTAAAAATGAAGTATTTAGAATTTCATACTGACTGAAATTTGCAAGCTTACTGTTCACACACAGCTCTGAATGAAGTTACCTTGCTCCAATTTCCTGTTTTCCAGCTAGCACATGGGCGGAGATAACACCTCCTTGCAGGATCAGGCTTTTTCATGTCCTGACAGTGAGATGTGTTCCTGCTGCTGCACTCCACATGTCTCCAGAAAGCGCCCATTCCACAGGTCGTAGAGCACTGCACGAGGGCAAGAGGGCCAGGGACAAACTCAACATTAGTACATCATTCTGGAAACAATCCTGGAACCTAAGTACAAATATCTAGAGCCATTTTAGATGATATGAGACTGGAGATAGCCAAAAAAATATTTCAAATTCACCTAAATTTCACTTAACATTCTGAAGGAGGGCTTTTTTTGGTTTCTTAAGACAAAACCAATCCTGATTTATACTATACACTTCTTTTCTTTGGTAAACCCCTGCTTACCAAGACATTCTAAATCTGTACCAGCTGTTTCACTGTTTTCTTCTTTTATCTTTGGGGATCCAAAGTAAAATATAATTACATCAAATCTTCAGCATTGGTCTCACTCTACCGCTAATACTGCTGATGAGATAGCTAATTGAGTGCATGATGTTGAAAATCTTGAATAAATATCTGAGAATCTTAGGAAAACTGTACAGGAAAATGTTTCTCTAAATTGTTAATTCAGTAAGTGGCTGAGTGTTTTCAACATTTGGGAGGATTTTTATGTCTGAGGAAAGAGAACATTGATTATTCCAGTCCATATCCCAAGAGTGCACACTACTCACAAAAAACCCCAAATACTGTCATTGTATTCTGAAGCAGAGGAGTTGAAAAGTGTTTGGAGACACCTTTTTTTACCTTTTTCTGCCTTAGAAAGGGCGGGTCAGTGAACTATACATGTAGAGCCTAATTCTACACACACTACTCAGCCTGTAGCTGGCATGAGAAACAGCATAAATAACCTTGAGTTAGATCAGCAAAATGATGAATAAAGAAAATGCCACTGTGTGGTTTGAACTCCCTGTGAGGAAGCGGGAAAGTTAAATATGGAATGCTGAGTAAGCGTCCTTGGAAAAATAAGGAAACTCCAGCTGAAGCTAAGGCAGGGAAAAAAAATCAACAGTGGAGATTTTTTATCTCATGGTGACTCCTGGGATGCATGTCCAAGTGGCCACAAAGGTCCTGTTAAAGGAATATTCAGTTTTGCCTAGTGACACACCTATCCAAGACAACTTTTCTGACTGAGAGGACGGACTGCCCTTGTCTTGCTCTCTGTTGGCTTGATGCTTTCCCCAGCTTTGCTATACCAGTCTGACAACACCAAGACTTTACTGAAGGGATGCTTAGTCTTTGACTAAAGCCCCATTCTGAGCACACATGAGAAGCAAAGATGGCTCCACAGTTGATGCTGTGCAGATCACACTGAGGAAGATGTATGTTCTTGTCTGAGGAAGGTGAAACAGCAGAATTCTTTCAAACCCTGTTTACTGCAGGCATGGGGTCAGGAGAGAAAGGCATGATACTTTAAATTGTTTCAGGATCAAGCCTTAAGTTTCTTGAATGTTGTTTGATGCTAAGTTTCTGAAAACATACTGCTTTTCCCTTTGTCATTTGGGAACCAAGACTTTCTCTTGGCACAGTAGATGTCTGTCACAGAGGGAGAAAGTGCAGTCTTTACATGACCAATTGCAAAGGGGCTGTTAGAATGAGCTGGTCTGGTAGGAACGGAGTATCTTTGCTAGCAGAATGCTCTTATAAAGGGAAATGTGATAGCCCAGAATGGCCCAGGAAAGAAGTAGAAAAGGAAGTAAAAGTTACAGACAAGCACTGGTGGAAGTGGATGTAGGGCACTGTTTTGCCCTACTCAAATTAGTGCCCTCCCTTGAAGGGGCAAGTGCCAGCCCTGTCACACCTTTCCAACTCAGTGACTATCACTGTTCTTGGCACTATTTATTTACCAGTATGGACATCTCCTACAGAGCAAAGCTGTGTCAAAATACTTGCAGCTACTAAAAGAGAAAGAGCTCAGCAAGATATTCATCAGGATAGGTGCAGTGGTCTTGAAATGCCAATGCCTTGGAGAGATGTCATCTAAAAACAGATTAAAAGTTTTACTAAGGATGGGCAAACAGAAAGAGCAAAAATAAAGTCAGAAAACTGTAGACTGAAAATTAAATAAATGTAATGAACAAAAAAGAAAAGGTTCTGTGAATGTCAGATGCAAAGTGTGTATGTGAAATAAATAAAATTTATTTAATGAGAAAGAGAATAGCTGACTTTATTAGCAGAACTATGGAATGGTTGAAATTGGAAACAATCTTTGCTCCAGTAGGGCCACCTAGAGGCATTTACCCAGAACCACGTCCAGATGGCTTCAGAATATCTCCAAAGATGAAGACTACATAAATTCTTTTTGATGACTTCTTCAAATCTGAAAAATGAAGTTCAATGTGGCACACTTCCCGTAAAGTTTATTTTAACAAGAAACAACAGCTTGAATGAGAGTAGCAAAAGATTACTTAATTATTAAAGAATAACGAAGTTAGATGCATTAAGTATCCTCAAATTGTCTTCATTAGTTCTGTGAAACCAAATGTATTAACCTTATCTCTAAATTCATTCAAATGTTCATTCAATAATCCTTGTGCTGTTGGGAATTTTTATAATAGATTGGAAAAGTCACAGAGGATTAGATAAGAGCATCTTTCAATTTATCTCAAGGAAAACAAAAAATCCTATCTGTGGTCTAATGGAATGCGTAACCCAAGCTGACTTCACAAGAAGATAAAAACCAAGTTATTAAACAATAAAGATCAAAATGGCAAATACTGATGAAGATGATAAAGCAATATAAAAGCCCACATGGACCTATCTAGAAGAAATAATTCAATTGAGTCTAATATCCTTTTCTGACAGGGGAACATGGCTTAATGGAAATAAGAAACTGGCTGGTGTGATGCATCTTTACGTGACTGTGCAAAGCACTCTTTTAGCAAATGGAAATACAGTTTAGGTATTATTAATTACAAGACTAATGGTGTTCAACTAACTGAAAAACTGTAATAAAGTGGTTCTCAGTGGTTCAATGTCAAAATGAACAGACTGTTCAAAAATGGTTCTGCAGGGCTCTGTCCAATGCCAGGCTCTCCTCAGCCTTTTCATTAACTAACTGAATGAGGAAAGAAAGCATGTATTTGAGATATTTGAACATGATAAGAAGCTGGGAGAGTAAGCAGGAATGTTGAAATTTGAATCCAATGACACCTCAGCACAACAAAAACTGTAAGAAACCAGTAGTCTGAAATAAAAAATAGATGCAAAATACTACATTTAGGGAAACATTCTTATGCATACATTCACACAACACACATAGTTCCCAAATGTAATTGAGAATTTCTGCTGATCTAGAAATATTTACAATTTTACAGGGTTTACAATGGACCACAAATTGAATACATCAAAGCACGACGGTCACAAAACAAGACAAATCTCATTTCTGCATTCATAAAGAGAGTAATAAATAAAATGATAGTAATTATTCGATTTTATATGTCATGTGTCCACTGGGGCCACAATGAACATCACTGATAAAAAATGTGTGATGAAACTGAAGCAAGACCAGACAAGAACAATGGAGTCCCCAGATATTTAGAGAACACAAGGAAAATCTCAAAATAATTTAGATGTCAGACCCCAAAAGAGTTATTAAGAAGGTAATTTTCCTCCACAGTCTGCATATAAAAAAAAAAAGGAAAATCTTCATTTTCAGTATGGAAGATGTTGGTTATGTATAAGGAAAATATTTCAAGGTGGATAATGAATGAGTAGGACAGACTGTAGAATCTCTGCATGACAGGCCTTTGCTCGGGCTGTGGGGGCTTGGGGCCATGTTCCTTTGATGTTCCTTGTGAAAACAGATCTAAAAGCAGGTCGTCTCTTACAAGGGTATGTGCAGAAGGGAATGCTTCACCAGTCCCACTAGAACATGGAAAGGAAGCTAAGGCCATTCTCGCCTGGCCACAGGAAGGCACAAGTTGAAAGTTCAAACTGCTATCAGGAGTGCATACCCTGAACAAGTACTGGGGACAGAGCAGAGGTCTCACCACTGTCTGCATCCAACACGATCTCGGGGGTCTAGATATTCCTCCACTGACATAGGATACACTTAGTCATCTTATGCTGTTCTTTCTGGCCCTGAATTTCTGCATTTCTATGATTGTGAATCGCTCCCAGCAGACCAAGAGCAAACAGGCACAAAGAAACAGATCTTTGATAACATTCTCCATCAATGCTGAGACACAGAGGCAGATCAGCACTAGGAGGTTTCCAGTCCTGACCCTCTTTAGCTTGGTAAAAAAGACCATCAAAAAATGAGATGATTAGTTCAGACACCAACATCTCTCACTTTAGGCATCATGGGTTCAAGAATATAAAATCCATTAGCATAAAAGGAACTCTGTTTATATAAAAATAAATCTTTACAGTGGGTATGATACTAAGTAAAACTTTGTAAAATATGGCCAGGCTTTGTGATGACTATATTAATTCACTGTAAGCAACCTAATCCTAGATATCCCAAGCTATCACTTATTTTGTGATAAATATTTCATACGTACGATACTGATTTCAGAAAATTGTGACAAACTACGAATCTTCATTTCCTCAGGAGTGTTTCAGGCAGTTGTTCACACTCTCCACTTCTTATGAACAAAAAATAACTTACCTCACTCCAGTTCCCTACTATCCAGTAGGCATCACTGGGCAAACTGTTGGATGTTATTACGTGTCTGTTGTCTGTGACATTCATTAGAGCACCCTCAGATGCTGCACTTTGGTTGCTCAGAGCATGCTTGGGAGCTGAGGACTGTGTGCTGGTAGTTATGGTGTCAGGCAGCTTTATTTCTTCTCTGCTCTCAGTCTGGTCTCTCGGTGGGTGACCAAGCTCTGTGGGCATTTCTGTAACCAGTGCTTGTGGGGTAGTTACCTCTACAATAGGCACATCAACTTGCAGGCTGACATAGTGTGCTGCTGTTGGAAAAGGCAGCCCTTGTGCTGCTCTGCTAACAGGAGCAGGCACAGAAGGGTGATGAGATGCTGGTGGGGACTGAGAAGTCACACTCTCATTCTGAGAGACAGGAGAGGCAGTGTCCAAGGTTGTGCTTCTGGTCCTGATTTCAGGATTGAGTTCTGTGCTGTAAAAGAGATCAACTGTTTTCTTGCTGGCTCCAAGTGGCCAATCAGTGCTGTCAGATTCCTCAGTTAAGTAGTCATAGCTGGAAGTTATTTCTGGATTACTGGTAAAAGAGGAAACAGGAGTCTCCTCACTTCTTTGCATCTCACTTTCTGCAGTAGAAACTGGCTCACTTCTAGAAGTGTTTTCAGCATGCCTTATAATTTCAGTACTTAAGCTGTTATGAAAAGGCCATGAAGTACTATTTTGATATGAGCTATTTTCAGTAGAAACAATTGTATAATTGTAAACATCACTCGATTCAGCAGAATTATTTTGTAATGTCCTGTTGTCTGCTCCCTCTTTTCCTGAGACATTGACCAAACCAGAGGACGTAGGCAGACAGGGAGTTACACTTTCATGCTTGGGTGTTTCTGTTGTTGTATGGAACCTGGGGTTTGGTCTGGGTATTCTGCGAGGAAGACTCCGTTCAGGATCAGCAGTTGTTTTTCTGATTATGATCTTGCCTCTTCTGGGTGCCTGTGGGGGCATCAGAAATCTTCCAGCATGAGGGCATTGCTGAAGACCACACAGGGCCTTAGAGTTTGGTCTCTTGGAACTATCACACGGCTCATCATTATTTTTGGCACAAGTGACACTACGAGTCCTTATTCCACCACCACAAGTGACTGTGCACTGCAAATGAAACAGAATTAATGCATCTCCCTTCTTCACTCTGCTGCACAGAAGTATCAGACAACCTTTGTTTATAATAAAGAAGCATCATGACAAATAATCAATTACAAAGCTTTTCCTGAAGAACAAGCCTTTCATTCTAGTGATGTTCTGCTACCATGGAGCTCTTTACAAATTTTTTGGCAGTAAATGTCACACTGGGGAAAGAGCAGTGAAAAAAGCCTACACGATAAAGACAAAATATCAAAGTAATACAATAGAATTTGATTTCTTCATTGACTCGCAAAGTCATCTTAGCCAATACCTTTTCCACCAGATTTGTAAAAACACAGACTAAAACCTGGAATCATGCCCACACCTGACTGGCTCAGTGCTGCTCACAGTGCCACAGACCAGCTCTGTGATCCAGGCAGCTCACAGACCGTCGCTGACTTTATTAAATGGATTTTTCATTCAGTCTTAGTACAACCATGAACTGCTGCCAGAGCTACTGGCATGTCTCTTCCTACTGAAAGTAATTGGCTTCTATTTAAATGAGAGCAGTTGTGCATAGAGGGTGCTGGGAGCTAAGACGACCCAGCCTTTCTGTCATGTTTTTCACCCTCTGGCCCACAGGTACTGACATGACTTCAGCAGCTGTCACTCCACTAAGGATTTTATAAAATCACACTTCTCTGGTTTGAGATACTAAGGTTGTCTTGTTGAGTAGGAATGGAGATGTTACAAAAAACCTACTGGAAGAATTCTTCATAGGAAGCAAGGAAGCCTAACCAGCCTAATCTCAACATGAAGTGATGAACTCTCCTTTTCCCAGGACTTTATTGCCCCTGCCACATTTGAGAGCTAGACTGGATCATGGGGCAGTAGAAACACCAGTGACTTTGTGTTGCTGGGGCACTTTGTTGTTTGCAGTCGTAAAATAACATCAGCCCTGGAGCAGTAAAGCAACCAGAGTAGCCTCACAGTAAATAGGTTCATCAGCTCCTATAATTTGTGCAGGTGAAATAGCCTGTGCTACATTATCTCTCCAGTTTCTGAAGGTGCAAAAATGTATTTCTGCCAGGAAGTTGTAACTAAAATCCAAGAGCACATGAGCACTGGCAGTGCACATTCCTATATAATTGTTTTGCTAGTCATGTAAGCTCAATCTATTTTTTCATAGGTACTTAAAACATGGGGGTTACTCAATTCATAAAACAACATTCTGTGATGATGGTGTGTGAGCAGCATAAAGCAATCCAATATTTTTACAAGATTAACAAGATTTTTTTAGTTCAGTATGTGACTGTACTCATAGCAGTGACTCTAAAGCAAAAAAAGACTGAGGAGAAAGATGAGAGAGGAGTTTTCAAAAGGGAAGGGAAGACAGTATTTACAGCTGGAAGGGATCCTCAAAAATCATCTACTCCAACTGCCTGATCACTTCATGGCTGACCAGAAGTCAAAGCATGCTGCTAAGGGCATTGTCCAAATGCTCTCTTAAACCGTGACAGGCTTGGGACATCAAACACTCTCTAGGCAGCCTGTTCCAGTGTTTGACCACCCTCCCAGCAGGGAAATGCTTCCCAGTGTCCAACCTGAACCTCTCTTGGTGCAGCTTTGAACGATTCCCATATGTTCCCAAAGCTATGGGGAAAAAGGCAGAGTCTTGGATGCAAGAGATATGAATGTAAAGAATTTAAAAACACTTTGTTGACCTACAGAGATGACAGTAGTCATCACCCCAGTCTGGCCCACAGCAGCAATTGCCCTCACACAGACTCTTCAGCACTAAGCACACTGTGTGCTGCAGTCCCAAAAGCTCAGCAAGTTAACATGCAACACTTCCTAAAGCCTTTAAAAAGCAGAGCTGCTTTTTCTTTTTTTCTGCACAAAGGATTTGTGAACACATTAAACAACAAAAAAGTATTTTAGAAAAAGTTTAAAAAGCCAAAACAGCAGGTCATTGGTTGTCTCTGTTGACTATAATAGGTGATTTTGAGATAAAATTCAGTGTTTCTGCTGACATGAATTTACCTCAGTCCAGTTGCTCACAGTCCAGTCGGACGGGCACAAGATATCTCTGTTGCATGACAGATGGGTCTTTGGTTTAAGCAGGTGCTGGCACTCCATGACATCCAGTGCCTGCTCATCAGATCCCACTGTCTGGATGCAAAGTACAGTTCTCTTCTTCTGGCCTGTTGGGCCACACGTGGTTGAACATTTCTGCCATTCCCCTACCCACCACCTGAAAACCAGCAGCAAATCAATGAAAATGTCTGAGACTGTAAGAAAAAGAAATTTAAAATCTGGGCTCAGATATATGCTCTTCACATTAAGTTCAGGTCACTCAAGCTCTCCCATCCACCCTGTGCTCTAGTACCAGTCAGTCAAAGACAGAAGACAGAATTAGGCAGGATTTCCAGACAGAAGTAGGCACTAAGCATTATGCTTCAATAAAATATAGAAATCTACTGAGTAGGTAGTCCTTCAAATCCAAATTTGAGGAACTGCTAGAAAATCTACTTAAGAAAGTAATTTATTTGCTCTATTCTATTGGTTTTCTGTTTACTGCTCCCTCAGTACAGAAGAGTTAACAAATGAGAATCATTTGGGGAGTCTATAACAAGAGCACAGAAATGGAAAAGGTCCCTTTACCCATGTCCAAGCAGCCAGTACTGCACCAGTACTCAAACTGGCTCTCCATAAGGGTTATCTTCACATGGCCTGCTCCCACTGGGGGAAGCAGTGTGGTACACAGCCCCAAAATCAGGTTACTCAGAGCTATTCTGTGTGGGATCCGCAGTACTGTCCCTCTTGGCATGGGGTCCAGGTCTGCACCAGACTTTTCTGTACTTCATTCCTTCAAGAAGTAGAAATGAGGCCCTTATGTGTCTCTGTCATGATTAAAGTCAGTCTTCCATACTGTGGTATGAAATTTTCCACCAAACTAAGGGCAACTCTTTCCTCTGGAACAGTATTTTCCAATGCAAATCACCCTACCAACAAGAGCTGCTCCCTTTACATTTGGTTCACCTTAGCATTTCTCCAGCATCATCCAACTACTTTTTCTCATGCTGACCCAGAGCAGATTGTGCTCCTGCATTATCTGCCTCCCATTATATGAAAGGAGAGCAGAAATTTCTGGGTTTCTACAGTTTGAGAAGCACTGGCATCAACTGTGACATTACCTAAAGGTTTTTCTTTAAAGTTGAAAAAAATAAGAAAAAAAAAAACATGAAAAGCCTTTTTCCTTCAGTTAAGCATGCCCTAAGCAAGCACACAACTTCAAGGTGTTGCATAAAAAATCTGGCCCAGATCTATAAACTGTAAGCCACAAAAGCTCCTAAACAACATTGCCTGCTCTGGAGTTTTCAAGGAGGTCACAGCAAAGCCTTATAATGAAAACAAAGCAGGAATATCACAAAATCACTAGGTTGGAAGAGACCTTCAAGATCACCGAGTCTAAAATGTGTTAAAAAACACCTTTCTAGGAAAAAAGGCAGAAAAAATTGCTTTTGGCTTATGACCAACAGCATTCTATTGTTTTGGTTTTTTTCCTTTTAAGGTCCATGAACTTGGAGACAAAATAATCCTATTCTGATCATTACACCAAAGCTCAGCATCCAGATTTATAACAGTTTTTATGCTTTGTCTTTGCTGATAATCTCTCTCCCCTCCCCACTGTAAGTTTTCATGTTCCTTAATTCATTTTTACTTCCACTGCAAATGAGCTGCCACTGATGTGGAAGGCACTGGTATCTATTCCTAATAATTAAAGAAAAAACAACCCAAACAACCTAGACTCAGAGGCATCAAACTACAATAAAGCTTATTTGTGCAGCCATCTTGTCCTCTCTGTGGTACCTACACTTATCTTCTTCCTGTTTGGTAATCTATATATACAGCATTTCCTTTTAAAAGCCCCAAAGACCTTTGTGGCACTGACTGCTTTGCTCCAGAATGTGGTCCACTGCCACCACAGCCCAATGGTAAGATCTCTGAACCAAATTAAACTTAAAAAGACCCCAAAATATCTTCCTCCTCCTCATCTGCCTACTTTCAGATTGTTTCTTGTTCTTCCAGGTCTGCAAACAACAAAGGAACTCTAACAAGTAAATAGAAAAAGTAAGTACACCTCAGCAGAAGACAACAATAAAAAAAAAAAAAAATTAGCACCACCTGAATCAAGCCACTTCAGGGTTGTTATCAGCTCTTGCATCTTCTTTACAATTTTATCTCTTCTATAATCTTGTAAATTGCTGGCATTTCAGCACAAATGGAACATAAATATGTGAATTGCTCTATTAATTTTAATGGGACCGGATTTCATATTTCAAGGTACAGATATGCTAAACTGACACCTCTTCCCCCTCAACATTTTCAAATGGCTGTGACTGAGGGTTTAACAATTGGCATGTTGAAATACCAAACTCCAAGCAATAAATTATCAGAGCTTACCACAGAACCTGCATTCAGCAGCAGTAATGGTATATGATTAACTGTTGCACACAAAACGCTTTTAGAAGCTGTGTAAGTAGTCAAAAAAGTCAGGTGCTCCACAGTTAGAAAATCCCAGAATTAAGATTCTATCCTATTCCATTTTCCCATCTTCATGATCAAAAAAACCCAACAGTCAGACGGGTAATTTTTTCTGTAGACTTCTTCCTCACTCAGTGCAGGTAACTTCAAAAAAGACTTGCTCTAACTGGAAGTTTACTGCCATCAGTAACTGGAACTTTTGATGTTGTGTTTTCCTATTTCATCTTGGGGTACATGTATATGCCTTAAACATCCAAGGGTCAAAAACCTGACCTGGATTCACCTGTGCTCCTGTCTCTTTGTGGTTTCTGCTTGAGGACCTGAACTGTGGCATCTCAGCCAAAGGGGAATAAAGGCAAACAAAGATGGCAAAAGAGCCAACATCCATTTTTCTGTTCTGGTACAGGATGCCCCAGAGCAGGCTCTGGACCACAGAGAAGAGAGCAGCATGTGAGTGACTGCTTTTCTAAACTCTGCTTATCTTGGAGCTTTTGCTGTCTCCTCACACTGCAGAGGCATAACCAAAACTGGACATGACTGCTGAACTCACATCCAGAACTAACACATCATTCCAAGCTCCAAGCATGAAACTTCTGAGATGAAATGACCAAGCTGTTGGATCTCCCAGCCAAGCTAAAGACTGTGGTGAGAGACTGGGACAACCTGGTGGAAACTAAAGCCTCATGGAAGTCACCACCCAATACTTCTTCCTACCTTTGGTTTCTGATTGTACCTTTGGCATTTACTGCTACAGCAAGTGAGTGGTTCTTAAGTATTAATGCATCAATATATCCCTGCAAATGTGAAATGACTGTCTTATCTCCACAGGCAGGCATGGCATGGAAAGATTGTGGTAGCAAACAAACAAACAAGCAAAATGCACAATTTTATTAATTAATTAATTTGCATAAGCACTAATTTTCCTCAGACTGTCAAAATAGAGAACAGCCTGTCTGGTGAAAACATAACCTCAGGTAGTTTTGAGCTGCAGGAGTGAGTGCTCAGCTCTTCTGCCATCAAGCCTGGGACAGAGATAGGAAGGAAATCTCTTTCTTTCAGGTGGCATTCAGCTGCCTTAAATGAGACTTATCTTTTTATTACAAACTGGATTTCTAAGTCTAGTAACAAATTACAAGTTTAAAAGTTTTAGCTATGAGCCTATGACATAGTCCTCATCTATACATAGGAGATGTGTGGTGAATGATGTGTGAATCCTGTTGATTCCAGTAGCATGGGATTTTGGGGCTAAGGGGCTGAATGTTCCTTCCTTCCCACCATGGAATGTCACACCTAAAGAGATACTGTTGGCTTTTATTATGTATTTTTCCAGCATCAGGCACAGCAAATACCAACAGATTCTCACCCTGTGCATTGGAATAGAGACCAAGAATTTCTATTCTTATTATGAAGAATTATCTAAGAATTTCTATTCTTATTATGCTGTTGGAAGTATACTAAGCAGTCTGGAAGCAGGACAACACAATAACAACAGATAAAAAGCAGGAGATTCCAAGTACTTGTAAAATAATCTATTTATGGTTACTCTATTCAAGTGGGTAGTCAAGTTAAAAAGGCTCCAGACAACTTTTTTTACAAGGGAAAGCAAAACTTTATTCACAATGCTATAAGTAGTTAAAAAGTCACTCTTTTTCAAGTAGTATCCATTAATTTTAAAATTAACACCTATGGGACTAAATACCTGCTTAACAACCGAACTGGAAACCATACTCCATAGCTTAATTTTGTAAAAAAGCATGCATTTACACTACAGTCCCAATGTACTGCCCCTAAGCAGTATCACTGAAGTAGTGCATGAGTGGCTGCATGACACTTAAACTCTCAGCTGTCCAGCCACCTTTCTTTTGTTCTGAATCAAAACACGGCATACATGTATTATGATATTTTTAATATTTTTAAAATTTTCCTCTGAATTATTTAGGAGAAAGTAAGTGTAATAATAAGCATAAAATAAATACAGAGCAAATCAGCTGACAAATAAGAATGTTAAGGCTTAGAAGTCTGTAACTTAAATGACTTCCTGAAATAGACTAATGAGATAAAATCAGTTTGTGAGAGCCACAACCATTTTATCCTTCATCTGTAGCTTCTTTTTGATAAATTATCTATTTCTTATTTAGTGGTCTGGCAGCATTTTTTTCATCAGTGTGATTTAGCAAGGAGCAACCAGCATTTTCTGGATAGAGTGTACTGTAAAACACCTGGTTCACTGTTGGGAAGTACAAGGACATCCAGCGATTTCAGCTCTGTTGGCTGCACCACTAAACCAAGGTCTCCTGCAGTGTTGTGTTTAACAGCACTGTCCTCACCTGCAGCACAGAATTTAGCCACCTCTCTATGGAACACTTTGTCCTCAGCAGCTTCACGTGGACTCCAAGTTATCCCATATAATGCCACGTGGGACAGTCACACCGGCCTCCAACACTCACACTTTCTTTAGGACCAACAGACTGCACTAAGCTGTCTTGGGTTTCAAAGGAAGATTAGTGACCATCTGTCTGGATCAGGGGTGCCACATCTGCCAGGGAAAAGTGAACACCAACTCACCCCATGCTGGGACTACAGCATGGAACAGAGAGCAGATTAGAAAAGGAAGGGCTTGGGAAGAGTGAGCAATAATCTGTTCTTTGCTGACATCTCTTCTGACACAAAAACTCAGGGCCACCAACAGAAAATAGTGAGAGCCAGGTTCAAAACAGTTAAAATGTGGTGGTGCTTCATACAGGCACTAGAACCATGGCACTTTTTGCAAAGGAAGTTGTATACAATAGAAGTTTTTCAAGGCTGTAGAGGGAGACTGGATGAGTGAGGTTCATTGGAGGTTACTGATTAGACAAGCCATAAAAACCTCTGGAAATGCCTTGAACTAAAACCAGTTGGAAGCTGGAAGAGCATTACAAAGAAATCTGATTTATGTTTGACTTACTCCTTAGGCATGTAGGCCCTGCTGGGAGCCAGAACAGGGACTCAGACCCTTGGTCAAGCTCCTACAGTCACTTTTGTGTTACTAAGAAAAATAAATATGCAACATGACTCTTGAATTAGATACATATGGTTTTCCTGCACTGCACTTTGTTGTGATTTTGCTGTCCTCAGAAGGACTTGTGATTTCCCCTGCAGCACAGAATGAGCTCAAGAAGCATCTCAGGTTGTCAGCACATGAGTGCTTCTCTGCCTGGTCTGCAGAGGAGTTTGGTTTATATAACTCTGCAATCTGCTCAACAAGGGACAAATTCCCCTCCCTTTCAAAAGAAGGTCTGAATAATGCTGTCACTTAGAACAAATGGCATAAATTGATTTAATTAGGACTTTTTAAACTGATAATACAGTTTATATGTGCCATAAAAAACACCTCAGTGTGTATGGGTAGTCTCAGCTCTTAACTAGTCAAGTAATTAAAAAGTTTGGTCTACTGTCAATTAATTTCCTGGAAATCTACAAAGAATTACGAAATGCTGGTAGTCTGTGCTGCGAGCACAAAGATGTAACTCCCACAGAAGCATCATATACTGTTGTGAAGATACTCGGAAACAACTAATAAAACCAACAACCATGCAGAACTTTTAACATCAAAGTTTCATGAAATTCACCACTGGGAAATGCAACACAATGAACTCCAAAGACTCATTGCTTTGATTTGATTCTGACTGAACTAGTGTTACTAGGGAAAGACTAGTTTACCTTTGTGTACACCATGAAAAACAACTTTCAAAGACAATAGGAGACAAAAACAAAGTACCAAAGCATGAAACAAAATCCAATATTGATCTCTTTCAGAAAATCTGTACCTGTTGTGCAAGCCCACAGTTCTGCAGGCACCTGGAATGTTTAATCTTCCTTAGAGTACTGGCTAAAATGGTAGCACAGAAAAAACAGAGATGAATGTAAATTAAGACAATGTTGTGAGAAATGAAAGAATTATTCCCATGTGATCTCAGAATGAAGAAAACTGCACTTCACTCAAAATTAAAAGTAAGAGGGTACATAACAAAAAAATGCCAAATACTGTGTTAAAAAGAAAGTGCAAAAATTAGTTTTAGAAGTAGGCATTTCCACTCAACACCTCTCATAAAAAACACAAAGGTGTATCAAAAAATACTGAAAAACGATGTCTAAAGGCTCTGCTAACTGTTTTTGGTACACACAGCAATTCTTCTTAGCTCACTTGAGCTAAGCCAAGAATATAGTTTTTAAATAAGTACCTATAAGGTCTTCAGGCACACCTGCACCCAAACCAAATGAAAACAGTATCTGCATACATGAGAGAACCTCTGCCATTTTCAGCACAGGCTGCTCAGTAACTTGCCTTAGAAGCCTCTCAGGATGTCTCTCACTTCTGATTTTGTTTATTATGGGGTTTCTGGCACCTTGCTCTGCAAGGTGTGGCAGCCCTCACCATGGCACCATGGAAGGCTGTGGATGTTCTGGCCTGGCACCAGGAACACCCCACTTTGAGTAAGGATGCTGTCTGCCACCCCCAGGGCCCCCCAGAAGCTGTTACCTGGGCGGGCAGTCCTGCTGGTGGCACTTCTTCTGCCGCCCGTTGGGCTGCGTTGCTGGGTCACAGAAGGAGTTCTTGATGGCTCCGCTGCCCCTCCACACGCAGTGGGCGATCTGCCGCCGCACGCCTGCCAGAGACACACACACACACACAGACACAAAGAATGGAGCAGGAACCCCCACAGCCTGGGGAGAACTGCACGTATCCCCGGACTGCTGCATCCTTCAGCCAAGCTGGAAAGGTTAAGCAGAGCTCTTCTGGATCAGATCAGAGCTCAAGTGACAAATTAGAAAACGCTTTGCTTAATGTGTTTGTTGGCCTCAGAAATGGCTCCTGCAGACCCTTGAGCAGGTTTAAATGGCTATAAAGGGTTCTTGAGTTACCCACAGACAAGAGGAAACACAGCAGCATCAGACTATTCACAGCAAGCCTGGTTTTGCTGACCTTTTGTTTGTTCATTTGGAAGGCTGTTTAAGCAGAACACAAACCAGAGTCACAGAATAATGCTGTCACTTTATGTGAATTCAACTTTTAAGAAGTTTTGGTACACATTTTGACTGAAATTGATCATGAAAAGGGTCTTCTATTTTCTAAGTAAAAATACACAAGGTTCAGCATAAGAGGCAAAGCACAGTGATGAAGAGACACAGAGAAACAATCCATACAAAGAATCTGGGTTATTTCCTAACATTTCCATTTCTGCAAAATCCCACTTATTTAACAGAAAGAAACATGAATCAAAATACTACATCACCCTAGTTTGAATCTACAGAAAGCCATTTTCCAGGGGCATGCTTCCCTATAGTTTTGCAATAATTTGAGGCAGATCTCATGCCTCAAATTCAACGCAAACAGAAGTATTGCAATATAACAGTTTGAAAGGTAGCAATGAGTCTGATATGGAGGCATTAAAACGGTACAAGCAAATTTTAAGTATTAAAAAGACTGTAAAAGTATTTATTAACTCTCATTAAATTAACTGTGCAATTAATTCACAGCAATTAATACATACATGGTAGATCACTGCATCTCTAGGACTTTTATTTCTCCTGGGATGCACAGGGCCTAACAGCACTGTTATCACTGCATCAAGGGTAAGTGTCAGGCTACTTTGCATTATGCTTAGGAAACAAATTTTTCCTTTCCTCAGGCCTCCTAACAAGTAATGTGGGAAACTGTGTGGAAGATAAGAACATCAATCCATAGAAAATCATTGGGAAATGCTAATATATTCCCCTGCAACATATAGACACATAGGATCATAAAAATGTTGAGGTTGGAAAAGCCTTGTAGGATCAATAAATCCAATCATTAATCCTGCGCTGGCTCAACAACACAGAAAAGAGTTTTGGATGCATATTCACATCATTTCATAGAAATCAATGGAAACCTATGTCCCCTTTTTTACCACCTGAGAACATCAGGTGTGTGAGGAAATGCTTTCACTCTTTGATTACTTTCAGACTTCTGACAGAGACATATAAAACAACTGCTGAATCCAGCACAAGATTTGATGACTGACTTTCCTCCAGTCAGATACAAAGGCTGATCCTCTAGAACAGTGATCAGTGTCCCCTGTAAGGGAAGATTAAGAGACTGAGCCATTCAAGCTCCAGGGTCCATGGTGTGGAAGCTGCTGAAAGACTGAGGTAAGTTTGGACATGGTGATTGATCTCTTATTTGTAGGTGAATTGAAGCAGGAGAAAGCTTTTTTGGCTCAGTGTAGGACTCCCAGGGAGCAGTGCTCTCTTTTATGCTCTGGTATAAATATGACTAGAAAATTTAGCAACCTTTCTGTTAACTGTAAACAAAGCAGTTCCCAGAAATGTATCTATCCCTTTCAAAATCATGATATGTTGCTGTTCCAAATACAAACAACAAAAAATCTTTTGCTTTGATAAATTTTTTAGTGTCATTTCAGCTGCTGCAATTCACTTTAAAGCCCCTATAAACCTTTGTACAAGTTTTGCTTTGAAGCTGTACATTCTCATAAAATGATCAGCTGACATCAACAAACTATTTTATTCTAACAAACAACTTCTTTATGAAAGTTATGTGAACTCCCACTGTACTTTCGAAATCTCTGGTAGTTCAGCTCCAAAGCTGGAAAGAATCCTATACACATATATCCATACACACATATAAATGTATGTTTACATGTTATGACATAACGAAACAGTTGTTTTTATTAGCTTGAACAAGTTAAAATAGAAAACACTGCATAAGTAGACAGCTACTCACTACTCACCCAGCCCTAGCAAGTATTTACACAGTTATATAACTTAAGTGGGTAGTATCCTATTTAAGCCACAGATTAAAAATTCTAAATATACTGAAACCTCAGTAATATTTGAAACCTAAACTTTATTTCTAAAGGGTTTTGAGAGGTAGCTGTTTTCCTCCCTTCACTTCACAGAAGGCTTTTACTTCTCTCTGACCTTAATGCTGACTGGTTCACCAGATGTGGACTATCTCAGCTCTGTGAAAAAAACAACTTTGGGGAAAGACAGGAGAAACATAGAAAGATAATCATCAGATCAGAGAATAATCTTCATTTCACTAAATCTGCTAAGAGATTCCTTATACTTCTCTGTAACACTTCATCCCTAATGCATGACTCTTTAGATGTGAGGCTGACCCACACAGATGTTGATTTCTCACTTGGTTTGCAAAGAAAGGTACCAGTTCAAAGTCATCTGGGTGTGAAAGGCTTTTGAAAGAGAGATTAGAAATCTTGATGCTGCAGAGCCCTCAGTTTGGGCTGTAAACAACAGAAATGAAGGATCATAAGCAAATGTATAAAAGATGTTTGAGAAAAAAACATATTTGATTTTAGAGCTCATTTGAACATGTAATTGAGTTGTGCATTTAGATACTCTGCAAGGAGTTCACTTTGTATTTGAATGAACAAATTATATTCTGTTCATGCACAAGTTATGCACAGAATACAAGTGGCAATCTTTACATTAGCTACACATACTCAGTGCTATAAAACTCAGACCCACAGCAGTGAATGGAAACAGAGTGGCCTTTGTATTTAAAATCAATTCTAAACTGCAAGTTTAGGAACACTTGGAGACAATTTTGCAAAGCATCCTTTATGAAGGTTGTGAAGGATTTAGAGGGCACATAACAGTTAACCCCCCAAAAATCTCCAGGTTAAGTCCTTCTGCAGAGCTTTGAAAATCTGCCAATTACTTATGCTATCTATGGAGAAACAATTTTTTTATATTGGCTACTATTCTTAGTTGTGGCTGTCCTGTTCTATTCTTTTTGTTACATTTAATGCCACTAAAAGCTGGTTCTAAGAAACAAGATTAAAGCCTTTTAGAGAAAGAGGAAAGATTTATACTTGTAATTCCAACTTTACTCATTTCTTGATTATTTAAAGAAGGATTAATAGGTAGATGGTCTAAAAAAGAAACTCAGTGACACATTTAATTTAGTCTGCATGTAAAAAAGCTTTTTTTATTCTTAATTTAAAAGGCTCTACCTGTTGTCTTGAGTGCAGACTCTGGTGGGACAGCTCTTGTCTAGAGGGTGCAGCAGTTTGCAGGACACCAGTGTGCACACATTCTGACTGCAAAGCAATTCCTTTCATAAAGCATAAAGCAAATGGCAGGAAGAGATTCAACCTGTCCTGCACTGAGGACAGAAGAAAGGGTTATGACTTTTGCTACAATTTATCCCCTTTTGACACTTGTTTGCCATGAACTGGATAGTAATGTAATTTATTATTTTCTACACTGCAAATGAGTATCAGGTATTGCCATGTGTTCTCCTTTTCTCTGTATGCAGTATTAGGCATACTTGCCACAGAAAACATTGTTTTTTCAGTGAGTATTTTTCTCCCGTGCAGTGGTACAATAGACTGACCAGAGCCTTCTTTGACACTACAATAAATGGGAACACATGAAGGAACATGAGAACACATGAAAACATTTGAATCTTCTATTTCTCCGCTGCAGTGGAGCTGGAGAAGGATATGTGTCAGGGCATGGCATGGTGCTACCTTGAGGCGAATAATCTGGGGAAAAATATGTCCAGGGAACTGAAGAGAATGTCTCTTCTGAATGAAGAGACAGCTTTACTCTACAAAGTCTTTATTCATCACTGGAACTTCTTCCAAATAGATTTCTCATGGATAAGGAGCTGCACCATAGGGCTAAAATCATAGTTTTTCTCTTAGGACTGATGAAGCTTTCCTGTATCAGTCTATTGCCCTGTCTGCAGCCCCATTTATTATTCCCTAATGCAAATTTTCTCTCTTGGCTCCAGAAAGCATTTGTTTGTATTGTCCCAATTTCTGTGACTACCAAAGGCTGACCTACCCTTGGAATTGTTGTTGTGGTTTTGACCAGTGGTGATGAAAAGAACCTATGCTGGATCTTTGGCAGGTCCACATTTGCCAAGGGAACACAAGTCTAAGGATCAATTTCTCCCACTAGGTGAGGCTGTCAAAGTTAGTTCAACAGTTCATCTTCCTTGGTCCTTCTTTTTTATCCTAAAAATATTGGTTTATTGTTCACATAATTGTAATAATCCTTAAAAGGTATTTATCACAAACATTAGGCTAAATAAATACAGCTTTTCTTATTTATCTCTCTGTAGGCTTGTCTTCAATAACACTTGTGCAGCACATGCATAGCAGAAGATTATCTTGTCTACTTCAGTGCACTTTTATGTTATAAACTTTCCAGAATACTTCAAATGACAGTGATTTGGTACAACAAGTGTGTTCCTGCCAACACTGGTAAGTTCTGAACCTAAAGAGAGTGAACATTCACATAAAATCAATCACATTGTTCATAGCCAGAAGGAAGCTTTGGAAGTCAGTTGGACATCAGGGAGAATTTCTTCACTGAACAGGTTGTCAAGCATTGGAACAGGGTGCCCAGGGAAGTGGTGCAGTCACCATCCCTGGGAGTGTTCCAGGAACAATTGGATGTGGCACCTGGGGCCATGGTTTTGTTGACAAGGTTGTGTTTGGACAAAGCTTAGACTCCATGATCTTGCAGGTGTTTTCTAAACTCAATGCTATGAACAGTGATGCTGGTCCACACCACAATGGCCCAGAGCACAACCAAATAAAACATGTACCTGCAGAGAACTGCAGGCAGATTGGCATATCAAATTTCCCTGCTCCAAGTGTTCCCTTGGAGTTCTGTGCCAGGATTTCTCTGTTTTAATGGGCAGGGAGTGAGAGACAATACCCTGACTGCATCACTGCATTAGTTAACTATGTCCTTCTTTAGACCTGTCCAGTTACTTTCCTAAACATCTGTATCTCAGAGGAAAGAGGGCTAGAGGTTTATTTGTTTCTTTTCTTCTGCCCATGAAGGAACACAGAGAACTGGTGAGGTGTCTGTGCCCTTCCTGAACAGGGCTCCACCTCTCAGTTCCCCTTCCAACTGATTTCACCAAATCCATAATCTTCTCTGAAACACATTATTTATTTCTGCTTATACAAAGGCAATAAGCTCAAAAAACATTTATGAAAAGCACAAATGCAGCAAACAGAAGAAGTCAATTAACAAATAAAAACTGAAAAACCTCATATACCAGAGCTCTCTATCTAAGGAACCCACGTGGCAGTTAAAAATCAAAGCCCTATCATACAGTTTGTTATGCAGAAGAGAGTACACAGGACTACAATTTACCTAGTGAGAAACAGTTCTGGGAAAACTGCAGCTAATGTAAAAAGAACCTCAGAACAGCATAATAAACAGTCTACTAACACATTTCCCTCCTCTCCCCTTTTTATCACAACCATTTTTACATTAAACACGACTCACAAGTAGGCAGGTATCAGGACTAAAACCTACAGCACACAATTAAGTAAAACACTTGTTTTGTGCACCTATTTAAAGAAACTGGTGGGTGTCTCCCCACCAGAAAACACACAGAGTTTCATGCTGAGAGACTCTTCTTAAAGCAAAAAGCCAAGAAAACAAATCACATCATCTGTCTACTCAAGCATAGATATATATGAATGAACACACATTTCTATACTACATTGATTATAGATACAAAAGTATTTTTTAAATGATATGTTGATGTTATTTGGATGGAATATTTTACACTAGGCTTCTAAAAGTTTTTCTTTTCTTAATCTTATAAAATTAGGCCATAAAATGCCTTTTGTCCAAACCACTGAAAATGCATTACTTTAGTGTCTTCCCTGACTGAAGTGATGTAAAATTGTTACTCCTGCAGTCATCACTAATTTTAGAATCACAAGTGCATTTGTTAAAATACTTGTTCCTTCCACAAAGCAGTTAAAAAAGCAGTAATTACCAAAACCCACTAACAATACTCTAGCATTAGAAAAGGCCTTTCTCATATTATTGGTCTGTTTGTAACACTGATCTTCTGCTCTTCTGTACAGTTTTTTGACTGTACAGAATGGTCAAAAAACAAGGTTATGGTTTTTTCTCCAGAAATCTTTCACTGTCCTGTGAAAATCAAGAGCTAATTCAGAAGGCTACAATTCCTTTCCTCCAAGTTCAGACTTCCCTTCATATTCAAACTTTTCCATGTTCAAAATTATTTCTGCAATTGATGAATAAAAAAAAAAATACTAATGTGAAGATTTGGTCTCTTTATCCTTATTGTTGATTTACTACAAATATTAACTTTATCTCATTCATGTTAGCTGCTTTAGAGGAAGTTCTCCTTATAGCATTCTGTGTGAGTTGCCAGAAGCCAACTTCTAGACCTGTTCTTAAATCCTACTTCACAGTCACCATTCTGCTTGTCTGCTTTAACGTGCTGCACAGAACTACAATATAACTGCAGTGGTATCCAAGCCACTCCCAAACTGGCAAAGACATGGAAGTTCTCAAGACTAATTACAATTAAGTAATTATTGAGCAATGCACAAAAAAGAGTTGTTACTTGTCAAGTGATGAAATGAAGAATATTTTTTATAGTTATTATATTGAAAAGACTTAATGGGGAAACAATAGTAGGTCATAAATTTGTATTGCTGGAAAGAAGGACTATGGTGAAGAATATTGACAAAAGATTTTGAGGGAAAGGAAGCTGTACCTTCTTATTTTGGTTCACAGAAGCTGAGAATTTCAGGGCAGGTGTTTAGAAACCTGACTTACATAATTTTAAAAATTTTTATTTAGAAGTCAACATGCATTATTCAGAAAATCACAGAATAGCTGGGGTTGGAGATTATGTAGTCCAACCCCTCTGCTGAAGCAGGGTCAGCTGGAGCAAGCTGCACAGGATCACAACCAGGCAGACTTTGAATGTCTCAGAGAAGGAGACTCCACAGCCTCTCTGTTCCAGTGCTCTGTCACCCTCAAAGTAAACAAGTTATTCCTCACATTATTTTTGTAACCACGTGACCTAATTTCCCACCAAATACAGATTAAATAACATTACCTCTTTGAGGACTATGTCTATAATGAAAGCAAACAGAAGGAGAAAAAGGAAATGAGGAATTACCTCTTCCACAGGTAACACTGCAGGCTGTCCACTCTCCATATTGCCAAAAATACTCTGGCTCTCCAATCTCATTCTCATTACTTTCTTCTTTACGTACAGTGTACTCATACTCGATTCCAGGGTTAGTTTCTTGAAAAAGCAGCTAGAGAGAGTGGGGTTTATTAATTGTTTAATTAATAATCTACCAGTCAAAGGCTTGCAAAGTGTGGAACTGCAGGAATTAAAACTGCCCATCCTGGAGTCCACTACCAGTTCAGAGAAAGAGACTTGCAGAATTCCCACCTCTGTGTCGACAGTGGCATACATCAATCTTTCAAAGACACAGCTGTTTACTGTGCACTTCTGCAAATACAGGTGGGAATAAATGGGTCACCATAATTGGTATTCTATTGACTATAAGAAAAGATAATGCAAAGTCCATCCAAAGCATCCCTATGCTGCTGATTAAGAGCTATTGCCTATCCCCATTATAAATTATAATTTTCCTACCTTCTGAAATAGCTGTTACAAAACAACCATTAAGTCAGAAAATTACAGATGCTATTCAGACACTGCTTTAATATTATTTTTCAGTGTTTCTGAATTAGGAAGAAAAATTCCAGCTGAGAAGAGGCACTCAAGAAATTTACTTGAGAGGGAGAAAGTAAACATCATCAAAGGATAAAAGACTTCAGCCATGAAATTTTACTCTTCTTCCCAATTGTACTAGAAGTGAAGTCTGAGCACTAATTAGTTATGTCTTCTCACCAGCCATTCAAAGGAAGAAAGTGGTATCCCATCACACCCCTAATACTTGTTTTAATTGCATGGTGGATACATGTGCAAGCAAGCCATGAGAGATACTTTCAAAGATCAAAGGCCAATTCCAAATTATTTTTTCAGAACTGACAGAAGCTGCTTATGTTTAAGTCAGAATCCATAAAGCAACATGAAAGAAACAAAAGAAAGCAGCCTCTGTGGATGTTAAATGGGTCAGTTTCACTTACCATAAGCTATTAACCCGTCTATGTAATGCTTTTCTTGCTCTGTGTAAGCTGTCACTGCTGTCAGCCATCCCTAGCTCTCACTGTTCACAGCCTGACATAGCTCCCTTTCTGTGACAACTTATTTTTCATCTGGATCTGGTTCACATCACAGCCATGTGTTGCAAAAATTTGGTACAAGAGACAAGAAAGTTTGGCAAGGGACTGTCCAGCTATAGGTGTCAGGATCCCTGTTCTAGTGGCAGCAGAGGATTACACCAGCCTTTAACAAATACTGGAGAATGATACAGGACGTGTTTTTAGGCAGGATGAACAACCCTCAAAAGCAAGGCGCTTATTTCTCTCCAGAACAGCTCAATTATTTTTTTTTTTTCAAGACAGTACATTAATGGTGGTTTATATGTACTCCAACATATATATTTTCCCAGCCCCACTTCCAGGGCCCCAGCACATTCTGCTGCCATCCAAATGATCAGGTTCTGCTCGTGATCTCCCCTTTACCTGAATCCATATTGATTCATTGGTGGGTCCTGGAGCAGTCAGATTTTCTAGATCTCCTGTTCTGTCATACTGAAATATTGTGCCTGCCACTTTGTATTCACCATTCCACTGGATGATAAAGCCTCCATTCAGGTAGTATTTTTCTGGGTCTTTGCTTCGCACAGCAAGGAAATTTCCAGATTCTGTAACTTCCATGACTTTGATTCCCCTTGCACCTTTTGGAATTAGCCCAATGTCAACATATCCTAAGAGACAAGAAAAATTTACGGAGGTGAACAACAGAAATGTCACTGCATTTTACTTGTTTGTAAAATGATTAAAACAACAGCTTTGCTGGAAAAAATATACAAATGTCCTGTCACAGAACTTGTATTTCACATTGTTAATAGTGTAATTTCCAAGTCAGGGTTTCTAATATATAGTGTTTAGGCAATGCCAGTGGCATTTAGAAGGGATGCAGAGGTGAATGACTTTCAGAGCTGTGCCAGGGGAAGTCTACTCCACACATAAGCATCAACATTTCCACAACTATGCCCAAGGGCTCTGGCATACTGTAATCTGGAGAAATGCCAGGGAGTTCCAGCAAGTTAACAGCCTGTAGTGGGATAGGTTTTTTTTCAACTTGCAAAGAACATTTTCATCTGTACCCAATGTAGAGCTATGCACAGAATTCCATGTACCTTCTCTTAAATTTACTTCAGTGTAACTTCTCTGTGAAGTTACAACAACAACAAAAAAAAGGATGTTATTCAAATGTGTCAAATTACTACTATAAACTGAACACATTTTTGTAATTTGCCTATTTTCATAACAAAGTTCAAGGGCTCTTCATGGGTAGTTATCTGTTTAGAGATTTCTGGTCTGTGTGTTAAGAATGACCCAAAGCGTCTATTACAGAATTTTGTTCACATCACAGGCAATGTGTGACATCAGACTCTGTGCTTCTCACCTTACAGGAAGCTGCTATTGTTGTTGCTACTAAATTGTAAAAATAGGAAGTTCATACAGATTCTTGAACACAAACACAGTTATTGTGTTATTGTTATTGCCCCTAGCTGAGCCCTAGGAATAAGATGGATGAAGTTGCTACAAGCTGGTGCATTGGGAGTGTGAGCTGCCTTTGTGCTGGTTTACTTCAAGACTGGAACATGAGTTCCCTGTTCTCATCACTCCCTTCTGAGGTCATGAATTAAATTCTGAGACTCACATTCTGTTCATCTTTCTTGTGAAATCAGCTTATCACCTTTGATTACTCACTCACATGAGTGAGATAAACCACACTGGGCAGGCTAAGCAATCTTCAGTATCAATGTTCTTCACCTACCAGAAGTATTTCTGTGCTGCACAACAACCTGCTGCTGAAAGTAAGTGCCCAAGAATCTTTAACATCTGAATTTTCTTTGCAGCTCTTTTGTGCTGAAATAAACATTGGTTAAAATGTCATATGCTGAGTATGGTACAAAACAGAATCTGTCCACTTCAGGTCATTACATATATGGATTTCCAGTGATTGATGTTTAAGAAGGAGCATTTTCTTCATGTTACCTTTTGCAAGTCTTCTAGACTGACTTTGGAATTCCAAACTCTTTTTTTTAAGTGCATCAGTTTTTTTCTAAGTGAATGAAGTAACAAAATCTGGAGGCCCACTGAATGACTTTTATTATTCAGTATATCAGTGCTCTAGGTCTATTGTAAGTAACTAAACCTAATGATTCTCCCAAATGTTCTATTCATTCTGTGAAGAGAAGACACGTTATGAACAGTGTGTGATTATATAACTGAAGGCTTGACTAGAAGGCATACTTACAACCAGGACAAATGAACACAGCATGGAAAATCTTAATTATGTCACATCCTGACAGCTTGGCTTTGCAATGCTGGTGTCCTTTTACAGTAGGGTTGGGTTGGGGTGGTATTTTTCAATTAAATTAGAATAACGTTTGTTCAAAACACAAAGCATAAAAACTATAAAACAATTTTTATTCTGTTGCAACACAAAAACCTGTATATCCTTTCAAGATTTTGCATAGTTATTTTTGCCTGAATCACCTACTGCTGCTCATAAACCTTATTTTAAATGTATTGCAACTGTCTGGTAAGGGAAGTTACCATTTATTCAGTGTATCACACTTCCTTCTCCCTACCCCTCCCCATCAACTAAATTACTTCCTTATTTCCCGGAGCCTCTTGCTGATTCCCAGTAAACATTATCTGATTTTGAAAGGAAAGCTAATCAGCAGCAAGCTTTTGAGTTTGTCACTCAACATAATGAATTTTTGTTTAAAAATTCTGTGGATGCTGTTTATGTAATTGCTCCTGGTTATGTGATTTCATTTGATAAGGATCTAGAGATCCAAGATTCAATAAAAGTCAAATTGTCAGCTGTCTTACCTACACACAGCTCATTAAATCGTGGAGCAAACCTATTGTGGGTGCTTCTGCACACCTGTGAATTGGCAACCCTCAGATTAATCTTTCCCTTTTTAATTAAAATTAAATCTATATGCTCCCAAAACAGACATGATCAAATTAATGAAACCCTTGCTGTACACACAGCTCTACAAGAACTGGAAAACTTGTTTCTCCTTCCTCACTTCTGTGAGAAAAGAGTAGTTTTACTCAGGCCATTAGCACAGCATTGTAGTTCAAATGATGACCAGATCTTACTGTTTCTCCTTATCAAAACAGTTCACTTTCTACTCTCCAGCCTGTTGTATTTGCAAGCCTCTCTTAAAAATACACATTCCTGAGGCACAACCTTCCTCTGTGCCAAGCTCTAGACACTACCATGATTTCTCCACCCAGGCTTGACCTTCTTGCTCTTCCATGCCCAGCTCATGCTGCAACCATTCTGCCCACAAAGCTCAGCAGAGGCAACTTAAATGATTTTCAAATGAAACCCCTGAAAACAAGGTGGTGAATATTAGTGTCAACAGCTGAGACACTGTGTTCACATTAGACCTCTGATTTGTTTTCCTCCATGAAACTCCAACAGAAGCCATTACCAATGGATGCAGCCATGCCTGTGGCTCTGTTGGATGACCCTGGATTGCTATTCCCGTTTTTCATCCATAAGAAAAACAAAGACTTTTAGAGAAAATGCAAGTAATAATACAGATTTCAATACTTTCCTTTTTGACCATGAGGCAGTATGACTTCTAAGACTTCTAAGAAGACTTCTTCAGGTAAAACTGATCACCTTGCCCAGCCTTTCACCTTCAGTGAAAAGCTGAATTATTAAAACTCTTCCCTAGCATTTCTTTAGTTAAACATGGCAACTCAGTCAAGTCAGTCAGAGAACACAAACTGCTGCAGCTGCTAGACCAAGAAGGGCCCTGCTGGACTGAGGTTCTGAACAAAGATTTAAATCAGAATATAATAGGTTTGGCTTTGTATTTTTCTATGCCACTGGACACAAAAAAACTTTTCAAATCTTCTTTGCCAGTGACTGGAAGCATGCTTTGGTACAGTTTCGTTACCTATGCTGAATTAATGAGCCTGAAGTTTTCATGTTCACATAATCTTTTCAACAACCACTCTGCTATAAAATCTGACAAAACACTCACAACACATCTGTCAGACACAGAAAGAAAACAGATATTGTAAACAAAGCCTTTTTCCATTTCCCAGTTTAACACCTGTGCAGTGAGAACCACATGTCCTGAAGAGCCCACCAACCTCTGCCTTGCCTGACATTTTTCCTTTTTTATTCTGCAATGGAGTAAATTTATATGGAAGGGAGAGAATACGCAGCATCAATACATTTTTTTACTGAATCTAAAGAAAGCATTTTACTTAACACTCAGTATCCCTCACATCTGTCAGTGAGGCTGACTGAATCTTGTGGCAAGGAAAAGGTAAGTGAATATAAAACACAAAATGAATTTCAATAAAATAAAAGGCACTTATCCTTTCATAAGTTACAGTACTGGAACTTTTATGTAAAATTGTTACTCAAAAATGAAGTTCACATCTTCAACCTTGGAAAACTCCCACACAGTCAAAGGCAGAGTGAATTTTAGATTTGCAGAAGCAAAACATTTGAGGCTGAAGGATTACTGTAGTATTGGAAGAAGTCTCACATACATATGAAACCTGAACTGCTTCAGGATTGCAGTTGTCTTCACAGTTTATCTTTGCGACACAGAGAGAAGAAAAGCAACTCAAGTACAGAAAAACCCCCTGAAATATTACAGAAGCTTTTACCCCAAAGTTTGGAGAAAACGATCAAACTAGCTCTAAATTAGTAGCACAAATCATATTTGCACAAGGCAGAACTATTTTATTTGAAAAACCTCACAAACCCAAAGCTGAAGGCACTGAAACTTCTCCCTCCTCACTACAATGGTACCAGTTATTGATCGTGAGACTTCTCATCTCTGCATCAGCCTCTTTCTTTAGCTGCAGACCCTACTCCAAGCATAGCTCTCCAGTTATTCTGGAGATATAATTCTATTATATTGTCTTTTCACCTCTCCCCCTCCTGTCCTGGTTTTCCACAGAAAGCTGTTCAACCCGGCTTGCTGCTATATTTAATCAGTTTTAGTCCCACTCCTGCTTCCAGACTCTCTAGCTCCCATTCATCCCACACAAGTCAATTTAAAGCCTGAATGTCTTGCTACCATCAGTAGAGACAGGCTCAGTCCTCCAAGTGCTTATTCAGACCACTTCAGCCCTGCAGGGAGTTACTCTTCTCCCCTTTATGATGCTTAGAAATAAATCCCCAAGCCAGTTACTCCAGCATTTGCTTGATGCTTTCCACTTTACAGAGATTAGGTCCACATTTTTCAAGATGGCAATTACATTCACTTTGTAAATGCACTTGCTATTTTGGATTTTGTTGTTAACTGCACAACTTGCATAGGACCTCTTGGGTCTCTGACAAGTTTTGTAACCCAGGTGTACTTAAAAAGCACAGAGTATGCATTTTTTTCTGGCAGAAGCATGATTCACTGAAACACCCATTTGCAATTTCCCACGCAGATGATCATTCAGTTTTCAATGAAAAGCACTTTAATCATTTTTACGTAGGGAAATGACTTCACCAATGGAAGAATTTAAAGGAAGAACCTATATTACCAAATCCTTCACTCTGATTAAACATCATCTTCACTGTACGACAAGCAGAGCCATCTCCCAGGCAAACTCCACACTGGTCTTCTGTTGCATTGGAATTTATCTCATAATCACAGCCAACAGCCTAGAAGGAAAAACAGTGTCAGAATAAATGCAGCCTCCACAATGAAGTACTGAGAGCTCATCTATCACTGCACTACTGAGAAGGGGAGTAGTATATATCCTGCATAGTGTATTCCACCAAGGTGAAAGACAAACAAACAATAACCATCACCGTGTCACAAAACATGCAGTAGTGACCAGTCACTCGAGACAGAAATGTGACACATGAATGGCATCATTATCTGGGACTGGCCACTACAGACAGGATTTGTGTCTGCTTTCTTATGTCATAGAGCCATCCACAGGTTCCTGGGAAATACAATGCAGTAACAGAAATCTCAGCCAGCTTTTTGTGGCCATCTCACAGCACAGAATCCCTACTGCAGTCAACCACACTGGCAAAGAGAAACTCTTCAGTGGGCATCGTTTTACTTCAATGACTCTCAGCTTGCGAGCACAGGGGCATGGGTCAAGATAAAGTGGGTCAAGTTCTAGTAATGACTGATTTTTCCAGCGTATGAGAGAAGAATTTATTCATCCTGAGTCAGGAAAAAACTTCTTCCTTGCCCAACCCAAAAATTCTGTACTCTAATGTCTTTAAATTTCAACAGAATTTTCATTTGGTTTCGGGACTTTTTTCTGCCTCTCCTCAAAAACAAGCAAGATTGCAGAACACAACATTATGTCCAACACTTAATGGTTGTTAATAGTATCTAAGATACCTGGAAGCCTGTGATATAGATGAATAGCCAGAAGTCTGGTAATATGTAAAGATTTTGTCTCAAAAGAGATTGAGATGGGGGATATAGTATCATAAAGTCACCCCAAGACAGGTTTTCTCAGTTGACTTTTCTCAAAATAAGCTTTCAGGTGTTATAACTGCCAACATGTCTAACATTCTCTTGATATATGAAAATCTTATGTATGAAGTTAGATGTAATGTATATAATAAAACCTCTTTTGATATTGATCTTGTTTTACCTTCAGTACATCAGCTACTGTAATTTTCTGCAAGCTTCTGACAGGAAAATCCATCTGACTAACCTAGGTATACAGGCTCCTTCATTCTCTAGTATTTTTCTATAATTTTCAGTTTAAGAAACACCAGAACATTTGTCTAAGTGCCAATGATTTGATCAACAATTAGAGAAACTGTGAAAAACAGAAGTAAGGAAAGGCCTCAAGCTACAGATGGTGCCAAACTGCATCACTTTAAAGAAGATTCAAAAAAAGATGCATCCACCACCTACTGACAATTCATATCCAGCACCTTTCACACCAGCCCTGAAAAGTCACAGCTGTGTCAAAGGGTTCTGCAGCAGCCTTAGCTTCTCCCTCTTTTCACTGAAGGACACTTTCAAAAAATGAAAGGTTTGTAATGTCTTGCACATAGACAGATCCTGGCACCAAGGACCACTGAAAGGACCACACTTATGAGCAGTACAGAAGGTTACAGAGATAAGGATATGTTAGCAAGGTGACTAACTTTTTGCCTCCGAGAATATAGCTATCTGACCAAGGATGGATTTAATCAACTCTTCAGAATACACAGACGCCACTGCTACATGAACAGGATGTTTCTTAATCTTTCCAGGAGTTCAGATCTGTCCCTTCACCAGTTTAACACTTCCTAATAATTTAGAGAGGCTGTAGTGTTACTGTTTTCTCAGTGATGCATTCCACATTACATCTACTGTGCTATTAATACAACTGTTAATCATCTGAAAACAGTAAAGTCATAGCTATCTAGTTTATTATTAGACCAGAGAAATAATAAGACACTCTGGAGAGTCATGGAAGTTTAGGTTTCTTTTCTATACTATGCACACAAACACTTGAACAGAAAGTGGGGAAAGTCTGAAGATAGAACTCTTGTGCTTTGTGCTTTGCTATTAGAAATGATGATTAATGACTTCTAGGAGCTTCTTTTTTTCAAAGTCTCTAAAAATCACTTGTCTTCAAATTGTGTAATTTTTGCCAAATTATCATTTTCTGGTAGAAAATGTGTGTTTTGGAAAAGGTTTCTGTCCATCTTTATTTAACTGTGCATTCTGTTTGAGAGGCTGCACACGGAATTAATTTAACTAGTTCACACCGTTAATCAGATACTTTGAAATGAACATCACTGAGCCTATTTCCCTTCCAAGTACTGTGTGGTGTAAAAATCCCCAAAGATTTAACTAATTAGTTCTGATTAGAACTGCTGCAGCGCTGGCTGTAGCTGAGATGGCAGCACCACAGTATCATCACTTCCTTGCCTTTGGGGTGGCACTCAGTGCTTCTGCATGGGCTTTACTCCATCAGCTCAGCTCTTTTCACTTGACCATTTCCTTTAGCAACAGCTCTATAGCACCAAAATACGGCATTGCTGCAATATGACGGGAATCCCTTTGTCCCTTCCGATAATAACAGCAGAAGTTTGTTTCTTCTGATACTTGTAGCAGTTTGTATCTGAGCAGACATGAGCCTTATCTATAAATGCAACATTCCTATACATTTCTGGGGTTTTGGAATACTCAAGAATGAGGCAGGGTAGTTTATTCTGCTACAGTAAAAGAAGCCTTTGTTTTATTCCCTGCCCTGCAGTGCTGCTGGTGCTGCCATGACCCTCATCAAACAGCAGGGCTTCATCTTACAAAGCCATTAAAAACCATCACAAAGCAATATTCTCATGTGTCAAAATAAACAGCATTCACTTACTCTAGATACATTTCCATGAACTTTAATTTCCAGACCATGTTTTCCTCTATCTCTCCAGTGAATCCTACACTATTTTTGCCATCCATCAGAATAATTTCAAGATACTTCATTCTTCTTCTTACTTGCTTTCCTCATTATTCTTATTCTTGTGGATGCACTTGCTGCATTTTCTAAACATGCCTCAAACTTTCCAGAAGGTCAATATGACCCATTAATGTGCACTTGCAGTCCAGAACTAGATGATATTTAAAGTCTATTCCAACCTGAACCATGCTGTGACTCTATGATGAATTTCTGACAAGGAGTTGTTAAAGGGATTGTGGAGACTAATGCAGGTTGTAAAGCAGGAAAGAATATCAGCATCAATTAGGCTCTGATTGTTTTACACACCTGTGTTCTTGTGCACCCTCTGCCCATGAACCATGCTGTGTTACAGGAACCAGTGTGCCATGGCATGGGCAGCACAACTCAGCATCCCTCCTTGCAGCCCTTTGCCATCGTCCCACTCACCAAGGGCTGTTTTTTAATGCATCTGAGACCAGCTTTGTTTCTGGTCACAGCACACAGTACAGAGGCAGATCTAATGACCTGAACTGCCAGGCTGAATTACAGGAAGGAGAAACAATTTATTTCCTGCTGATCAGTGACTAAATGGAAAACAGCCAGAGATATTGCCCTTTTTCCTTTTCCAGAGGGAGAGGCTTTTGTGTCAGATTGGCAGTGGAGGGCAGATACAAAAAGTCCTTGCTATCACTGTAGGCTATGGCCTGGATGTACCACCTGAATATCCATTAAGTGAATGCTACGTTTAACTTTAAGGTCTTCCTTATTTTGCCTCTCCCACTAAGTCTTCAAATGAAGAAATCATGAAGAAATGTGCCCTGATGTCAGTAATTTGTCTTGTAATTTGTCTGCATGGATCTGAATCAAATGTCCTGTTGGACTAGCAGTGGGAGGAGGAAGCTGAACCATAGTGAGAAGCAGTGAAGCTACTGCATAAAAATCCAAGTGATGTAATCTGCTTTTCAGTAACAGAAAAAAAATGGTTCCTTCCCTAGTACTACACAGCAGTGTAATTCTCCAGTACAATGTTAGTCTCTCAAAATCACAATTGTGAATTACCACAGAGAGCAGGCCACAGATTTGAATGATTGAAGGTCACTTAAGCCTATCAAAACACTGTGCAGGAGATGACTGGCTGCTAGAAACATCAGAGATGCCAGATCCTCCACCCTCAGTATCTGCACACTCCAGTATCTCAGTATCTGCACCCTCAGTATCTGCACACTCCAGTGCAAAGAACATGTAAGCCTTCACTTTCAGATGATGTGATAGCTTGTCCTTAATCAAAAATCCCCATTATCTATGTATCAGTGCTAAACAACCATTCTCTGGTGGCAGTATCTTCACTCATTAACACTGGGGGAACAACTGACTCACCTAGTAAGAATTAGGAGTGCAGTAGTGATGTATAACTTAAGCACAGGAATACAGGCTATGTGCTTTAAAGGTCTTCTAAATAAAAGGTGAAAAATGACAATTGAAAAATGAGTGCTAAGGAATACAGTTAAAAAACAAAGTAGTCATACTATTGCTTGATGATTTGAGATTAAATTTTGACAGATCTTGTCAGATCTCCTGATACAACTCTTCTTCTGTGTAAGATCAACATTGATAGGACCCAGCTATTTTATAGGCCAGGCATTCAAATGAGTTAACAACTTTAGCTTGTTTTTGAATTGACAAGTTCTAAAGGATTACCATGCTAACAACACCTCACTGTAAGCCTTCCTTCAGCACTGTTGCATGGGCAGCACTTCTGAAAAATTAGGAGATATTGGATAAATTACAAGGATCAAGTCAATCTGTGGTTGGTCTGTACTTCTCACTTGAAGATGTACACTGTGGCTTTGTCAGGCCAGCTAGGAAAGTAACCAGTGTATAACAGGTAATGAAGTAAAAAAATATATATATATATTTTTAATAATTATATTATTAATACTTATAAATAAAAGAAAGTATCTCAATCCATATTTAGCCATCAAAGTAAGACCAGTTTCTCTGATTGCGCTGAACAATTCATGACAAACTGCAAAATCAGACTGAAATCAGATGAATTTAGAAAATGAAATTCTTTATTGGATCTATTTATCTTGTTTTGATACACCCAGCAGGAAAACCCTGAACTTGGTTGGTAAAAAATAACTACTCTACACACCAATCACATGTGAGCAATTTAGACAGTGGGTCTAATCTCTTACTAATTTAATTTTTTTCTGCATTTCAGACCAAAGTGAAGTGTTATTTTAGTACTCAGGACAAATGTGAAGTGCTCTTGTGAGATACAGTTCTGAAAATCAGAACAGCACATTAACAGCTGTAAATATCTTTTCTATATCATTAGCAACATGTTGCAATCAAACTGCAAGAATGATGTACCAGACTAATTATATTAAATGCGTTTCCAAATCTATTCTCCATGACTTGTAGCACATCTATTGTGCTTAGCTAGCTGGATTCAAATACTAGTAAATTAGATGAAGATTATGAAAAAGCTCCTCCTCAGGTGTTGTGCTGGGTACCTATTTCAGATGAAAGCATGCTATCTTTCAATGCTGTGAGCTGTTTGGGTTACCTATTCATCATTTGGTCTCATTTTGCATGGCTATATTGTTCATTCTGTGATCCTGACTTCAAATTAATGTTTGCCAGGAGATGTGAAGCAGCAGTCACCATGTGCAAAACTGACAGCACCTTGGAGGGAATTTCTCACAAGTGCTTTGTGTCCACGGAACTGTTAATGCTGGAGTGTATCTGGGCTCTACAAACTCCAATTAGACCAGCTTCCCTTTCACCTCTGATCTCTCAATTTGGATTAAGTCTTGCTATCTCTAAAATAGGTATAAATCTGAACTGCCACAGGCAAGGTTTCAATATAGAAAGCATATAGAAATTTAAATTACTCATAGTAATGCCAGTCCAGTGGGGCTGGAAATCAGAAAATGAATGATTCAGAAGGATAGCTTTTCTTAATTTAGTAATTGGTCTCTTCTACATGAAGTTTAAAATCACTGCTATGGTATGCAACATCTAGTGTATGTTTCAATATGATAAAATATGAGTCATTCTGGCTTGAACCATTCAAAGCCATCATAATTCAAAGGCCCATCCTGGCTCTCAACAAAGTTAGGCAGGATCTCTTCACTGTGAGCTTGAGCAGGGTCTTGGTAACTCCCTTTCACTAATGCAAGTCTTGCAAGGAAAGCTTAAAACTCACCTTTTATTACTGGTCTATGAGGCACTGTCATTCTAATAAAACAAGAAGTTTAAAAAGGATGTACCAATCACCTATTAAAAATGTAAAATTTTCATCACTGGAAGTCTTTAAGTAAATAATGCAAAAAATGTCAAAAAAGGAACACAATTTGTAAAGGGATGAAACAGACAACTTCTTGAAGTGCCTTCTGGTTGCATTTTAATATGATTAAATGGCTTGGGGCATACAACCCCCATACTGGATAACCTAATATAGTTTCCACAAGTCACCAAGTCCTGCTTTTGTTTCCAAAGATGCTAAAAGCAAAAAAGTTATCAGGTTTCAAGAAGGTACAGGACATAAACCCTCAATTTGAAGAAATAAATCACAGATGTAAATATATCCTCTGTAAGAAAAGTACTCATTTTATTTATAAGAAATTGACTAAAAGCAATGCTAAGGCCGTGGAAGTTACAGAATTTACAGAACTTTCCTTCAAATGCCCTACAGACACACACATGATCCTAGAAATTTGCAACCAATACACAGAATATGCAGAGACCATTATTTTTCAATACACAACATTATTGAGCCATATACTCTGTGTTTACCCATTAGCTCACTGTACAACATTATTCAATTCAATGTTGTAAACTAAAATAATTTTTACTCCCCTCAGCTGCAAAGGCTGATCCTATTAAAAGACAGCTCAGAGCAGCTACACGTGTATGGTTAAACTTCATTTTCATAAAAAACCCACGGGCAGTGGTGATACCAATTACAACTTTAAAGCTACACTACTTTTTGAAAACCTCTCATCAGAAACAGATCTTCTTGAACTGATGTTTTAAAATAATGGGAGAACCCAGAGGATTTAAAAGGCACCAAAAGTAATCAGCAGTCAGTCTAATAGACCCATTAAAAAGGGTGGAAATTACTCTTATGTCTACTTGGAAAGCTTTTGCTATAAAAATGCTATAAAAATGCAATAAAGTGGAGTACTTGGTCTTGATCCTACAAAAAGAAAAAGGGTTAAGCATTTTCCCATAACATTTTAAAATTAAATTGTAGAGAAAGAAACATGCAAACATACCCAATACCTTACACATGCCATTAATACAGATATCTCGGCTGTGTCTTCCTTCAAAGCAAGGAGTACCATCAGTGACTGCATCAAGCATCTTCTCTGAAAAATGGCCATCAACTGGGCGACAGTGGAGCTCACAGGGGTTTGCTGAAAGGAAAACAAGCACACTCAGACCATACGTCAGCAGGACACCGAAGTGAAATGCACAGGGTCTTTGCAGACCATTTGCACAGTTTTTCTGCCATTTGTGAGAACTGGCAGAATTAGAAGAATTGAGCAGATCCAGGGTGACACAGGCCTGATAAACAGCATTGTGGATTTGTGGGAAGCAGCTGGAGGCTGTGCCCTCACACCTGCGTGCTCTCCATCGCCGGTACATCAGCAGCCCCTGCAGAGTGGGGCTGTATCAAGGCCATCAGCTGTGATGGAGAAAGGGATGAGAAACCAGCAAATCCAGCTGTCATTACTGAAGGAGTGGGATTGCCAAGGACACTGACAAGAAAGTTTTCCACCAGCTGGTGACTGACTAATTTCAGAGGTAATTCAAACTTTTCATCACTGCCATGTGCCTCTTTAGGAGAGCAGTCAGCTGCTTGCTTCTGATCTTCTCCAATGTTAATAATTTTCAACTACCTGTTGGCTCTTAATAAATAATTTCAAACATTCTTTTTTTTTTTTCCTGATTGACAACTTATGAAATAGGGATAATATTGCAACTCTCACAGACTCAGGCTATTTTCAGATACATGTCCCACAGAAGCAACAGGGAAGAGAAAAGTTGTAGCAAGAGCAACTCCAGAGCAACAGAGAGTGGCCTCTGAAACAAGATTTTCTGTAATGGATCAGGGCCTTAATCTATTCCATCTACGGAGTAAGAAGAGCCAAAGGGCACAAGTTTGATAAATAACTTGTGTGCACGTAGGATGAGTTAGAGCTCAAATTAGGCTCAAAGCAAAGACAGACATAATCCCTGCCTTTGTAACACTCCCTGAAAACTCTCCAGTAGAACCAGAACTATCTGACTGAATTAAAAATCATCTACTATCATATTAATGAAGGACATTAACAGATGATTTGTCTTCAGGTTTTGGTCTATTCAAAGACCTCAGACTCACCCAGCACTAAAGTGATTTGTTCATACTCAGCAACCTGAAGTGCTTTACTGAGAAAAGCAGTGGGCCTTAAACCCACCACTCAATAGTGACTTCAAGGCACCATTTTTGAATCCTTTTAAAACTATCTCCCTTTGTGCTGCAGAGGTGATGATGCTGAGTGAGTTTTATCCTGTGCCTGACAGAGCTGACAGAAGCTGCTCCCTTGGTCTCAGAGGGATGCAGTGTAACTATGTCTTCCACATCCTGGTTGATGAATTTATTTTTATCTGTTTCTCCTTTGTTGGCTTTGTTTGTGTCAAAGAAAGAACTGTGTTTCAATAAATTTTTGGTAATGAGAGAAATGCAAACTTCTGATAATGTAAATAAACTAATTAGTTTCAAACAAAAGGATTTATCCTTTTGAAGGAAGAAAGTTTTCTCTCATTAGTCTGGTTTGTACAGCACCAACATATACACAACACCACACAGTACACAAAGGTGACTACAGTTCCTCCCCTCAAAGTTCCCACAGCTTAAGAACTGAATCCTCCACAGCCTGAGCTTTGGTACTGTGAATCTCATTAGTGTAAACAGAAACACTGCAGAATTGGGAACAAAAACAAATTTAGAAAAAAAAAGAGCAGTAAAGGAAATTCAAAACCTTAATGAAGGCTTTTTTTTCCCCCTCTTCTCAGCAGAGAAAAAATGGCATCTTAAGTCTGTCACCAATGTTGTGCTTCTTGCTTCTCAAAGGAAAACACCTTCATAAAGTGCAGTGGTAATGAGACCCAGAGCACATGCATGGGCCATGGTTATACAACTCGTAGAATTCCAGCTGATGTGAATTGTGCTCAAGAATATCAGTGGAGATGGAGCTAAAAAATATTTTCAGGCAAAAAAATAAAGTTTGTAATCATTACCAATCCTCAGCCCCTGTGTGAAATCTGTCAGCCATAACACCCATCAGTTGTTTTGACAAGAGCTATCACAGTAAGTACACAAGTGATTTTATTTCTGTCTACAGAATTCTTTTTCTGGCCATGTAATTAAATTTATTACTTTAGTGCTTTAAATTTTGCTTTACCTTGCCTGCTTTCCCAATATAGCATTTTGCTATACAAAGCACAATATGACAAGGAGAATCCTACAATTCCAGGTACTCTGTTGCATGCTCAGAATTGCCCTGATAGACACAGATTTTACAGAAAGCCATTTCAGCTTTGCATTGTTTCTAATGAAATATGTATAACAGAAGTTCGATATCTATACCTCCTTCTAGCTGTGTGTTGAAAAAAAAAGCAATTTCATTTCAGAAATCACTGAAAAAGAAGAAGCAGACAGTGCTGACATACTCCTGGCCTACCTATGATGCTGTAAATCTCAGAATCAGTTTGTCAAGAAAAATAATTCCCTAGGTCAAAAGAAAAAAAAAGCAAACCATGTAAACTTTCATATATGCAAATACTTTCTATGTATGAAAGCTTTTCAGTTTTTCCTGATTGTGTTAACTGATCTAAAATTAGACCCTACCCACAGATTTTTACTGTTTTTGTTTCTGTATGTTTTCTATGAAGCCCTTCTGGAAATTACAGGGTACTTATTTTTCCACCCATAGCTCAATTCTATCTGAGATTTATTTGATTTCTCATCTGAAGAAAGGCTGGTTAGGTTAGGCCACCACTGAGGAAATTATACTAGCACTGTATTTGGCATTCACTATCTAAAATTATTAATTTATTTATCTATCATTATTATTTATTATGGTTGAGCTCAGGGCCCTTGGCTCTGTGTTTCTAGGACTGTAAATAAACTGCATCAGAATCAGCCAATGACCTCCAAATGTCTAATATTTTAAACACAGAACAGATACTAAACTCACACACAAGGAAAACAAATACATTTCCTGAAATTGTGGAAGACCTGTACTGAGTTCAGCCTTTTTTCTTATTTCAGACCCAAAAATCTAAAAAAGACGTAACTCGGATGAATAGGAACACTTGGGTTGTTCAGAAGGAGCTCATTAAAACATCTAGTTCAGTTTCAGTTACTTCAGCAAATTTGATTAAATCATGATGCAATTTTAACAGCGAGGCAGTCATGTTTGTAACTTTTAGGCCAAAATATACAAAAATTCCTGCCATCCAGCATGTGCATGAAATACTAGATCCAATCTGTGAGCACTCACTAATGACCATGTGTCTCTACCAGAGGAGGGGTACACGTGCTAAACACTCCTTAAATGTTCCACTGAGTAGCTGGCATTTAACTCACTCCTTGTTTTCCCTTCTGGAGCAAGACTTGCTCTTCTCAATCTTTGTTTTTCAAATCACAGAATTGTAGAATGTTTTGGACTGAAAGAAATCTTAAGGATCATCCAAGCCCCCTGCCATGGGCAGTGACGTCTTCCATTAGACCACAGTGCCCAAAGCCCTGTCCAACCTGGTCTTGAAAACTTCCAGGGATGGGGTACCCACCACTTCTCTGGGCAATGTGTTCCAGTGCCTCACCACCCTCACAGTAATGATTTTTTTCCTTATATCTAATCTAAGCCTGCCTTCTGACAATTTAAAGCCATTCCGTATGTCTTATCTCTACCAGCCCTTGTAAAAAGTCCCTCTCAGTGACTTTCTGACTTCCCTGTTGCTCTCCTGTAAACTTCTTCAGTCTGGCTGCATCCTTCCTGACAGTGCCTTGCTCCCAGCTGGACATAAGATTTTAGCTGAAGTGCTACCAACACTCAGCAGCCCAGAAAAATTACAACCTGCTTTTATATGCAGTGTCCACATCTTACACCTGCTGCTAATTTGACCAGAGACATGACCAATCCCCTGATATATAGAAGAAACACAGATGTAGTGGAATCCCAAGCCACAGAGCTCCCTGAAAGGGCACAGTGACTTATCTGTAATCAGAATGGGACAGAAGAAGCAAATCAGCAAAGCCGAGTGAAAATCCTGAAATCTGGGCATATGATATTTTTCTCCTCTGTATATTATTAAAAAGTTCAGATTCACCAAGTGTAAACAGAACAACATGAAGATAAGTAGAAAGGAACATATTTCCTTCCCAATTTAAATTTGTTTACCTCACAGCTGATTCCCATGAGTTCACATGCAGGAGGGATCCAGCTTACCCTGACTAAGAAGGACGTGATTAAGGTGTCTGTCAGAAGAAGATAAGGCTTCAATATCTTTCCCAACTTCACAAGGAAGAAAAGAGGTGGGCCTCTTCTCTCCAAACCCTCATATCTGTAAGAACTCAGAATTGGCTGAGGAAATCCCAAACAAAGAAAATTAGAAAAGACAATTACCAAACAGGCAAAATAGGAAAAAAAGCTGAGGTGAAGCTACTTATCACTTGAACCAAGCCTGGAGCTCTAAAATGAAGTTTAATTTTTAAACAGGGGCAGAAGGAACATTATTTCATCCTGTTAGCTCAGCCCCTGTGACTGTACCAGAACATATCTTATTTGGTACACAGAAATATTTTGAAAGAAATATGAAGTTTCAAACATTTTTAACACAACCCCTATCTGACTGTACACTAAGTGATCTTGGCACTGATACAGAAAATAAAGGTAATTATATGAGTTAATGTAGGACTTATAGATGAAAGTTAAGCCCTGAGAAGCTATCAGACTTACAGAAATGGAATTTATCAAATGGTATGAAATAAATAAACATGGGGTCAGTCTGATGGAAAGAGAAGTGGATACATACTGAAGTCTGACAAAAGTGCCAAAATAGGGGCCTGGGTCATGAGAAAAATTCAGAAAATATCCTGTTGAGGCTGCTGGATAGTTTATCACCCTTGAACTTGGAGGGCTCCATCATTTTAAGGTTCCCAGGGGTACTCCGATGCTCCAGCTTGAGACCTTTCTGAGGTCCAGAGCAATTCTTTAACAGGACTATGCATTTTCCCCAACAGGCATAAAGCCACGTGAACCAGAAAATTCTCAGTTGAAACCTCAAACATAGGTAGGCTAGGAAACAGCAAGATGTCACTTACTGCTTTTCTGTGAGACTGGTTGCTAAAGCTGGTTGTTTTATTAAATCATAAGCTATTTAAAAATGCCTTTCATCTCTTGTGAAGTTAAAATCTACACAACAGAAAAGACTCTAGGAACATTGCTTATAACTGCTTTATGCAAGCTACAAAATTAAACCCAGGAAGGGAATTGTGACCATCCAGATAATCTACACTTTTTTTCCAGCTGTGTGAAAGAACAGAGAATGTTTAAAATGTCACAGAATGACTGGCTCACAAATCCATTTCCTCAGATAGGCACTTCCACATAAAAGCTGTATGTGCATTCAGGGTTTCTATGGCTTTTTTCCCTTTTATATCCCAAGTGCAGCATAAGAGGACCCAAAATGCCTGATACCAAAACAAGAGCTGTACTGGGTTTGCGTGGCCAGGCTTTGGCAGCAGGGGCACTACAGGGGTAGCTCTGTGAGAAGCTGCCAGAAGCTTCCTCCAGTAGTGTCAGAGTCCAGATCAGACAGATCTAAGAAGGAACTGCTGCCACCAAGAGAGTGGCAAAGACCAAACCACCAGTGACGCCTGTGGGATAATGTATTTAAGAAAGGGAAAAATCCTGCACAACTGCAGCTGGAAGAGAGGAGTGAGACTGTAAGAGAGAAGCTCTGCAGACACAAGGTCAGTGAAGGAGGAGGGGCAGGAGCTGCTCCAGGTACCAAAGCACAGGCTCCCCTGCAGCCTGAGGTGCAGCCCATGGCAGCTGTGCCCAGCAGTCCCTGGAGATCCAGGGGGGAGCAGAGATCCACCTGCAGCCCTGGAGGAGCCCACATCAGAGCAGGGGGATGCCTGAAGGAGGCTGTGATCCCATGGGAAGCCTGTGCTGGAGCAGGCTCCTGGCAGGACCCATGGACCAGGGATCCACGCTGGAGCAGCCTGTTTCTTGAAGGATTGCAGCCTGTGGAAAGGATCCATGCTGGATCCATGCAGCTCAGGAAGAACTGCATTGGAAAGGGTCAAGGAATACTGTCTCCCATGACTACTCTACTCTGATTTAATTTCTAATAAATTAGAAATTTCTCCAAGTCCAGTCTGTCTTGCCCACAATGATTAACAGTGAGTGATCTCTCCCTGCCCTTACTTCGACTCTCAAGCCTTTTATTACATTCTCTCTCCCTTACCCAGCTGAGGAAGGGAGCAGCAGGGTGGCTTTGGTGGATGCCAGGATTAACTACAAATGCCAAAGCCACCCTGGCAGCAAGACAATGTAGTAACAGAATGATGTGAAAAACCCTTGAAATTGGGTTGCACAAGTTAAGAGAACAAGTAAGGGAAGTGACAAAGGTTGGTGTACATATAGAGGACATTGTGTGTAAGTCTCCAGAGTATTGAAACATCAAACAGGTCATTTTTGTGGGGGGTTTACAAAACACTGTTGGTTTGTTTTTGTTTAAAGTCTTGGTTTGTTTGGACACACACATACAAGGAAGGCTCAAACTGCTGTGTCTCCCAGAGTCAGCACTGTTTCATGACCTTATTTGCAGTTATTTTGCCCAGGACATCCTTAACCACTGGTAGAAGGTGAAAAAATATTTGAAACTGAGATGGGAGGAAAACTCTCAGATGTATTTTAGGTAATGCTGGCTGGACAAAACTAGAAGCACTGTGCCCATGAGAGCCTTCCACTCTCAGTCATACAATGATGTCAGATGAAGAATCAGCATAGGATTTGGCCAGCTCTCTGTTTATTTGAGTGTTACCAGGAGAGCCTGCCTATCTGAGAAAGTCAATTTTACCTAAAGTTATGAGTTTAGCAGCAAGAAAATACTTTAAATATAGTATATAAATATATTGGAATGTCAGAATGAAAGTGAAAACATTAAGGGCCTCCAAGGAAATGGGGAAGACATGGATATATATCTATGCTGAAATTCTGGCTGCTGAGAAAATGAGTGAAAACAGTCAAAAAGTTTTCAAGCAACAGAAGAAAAATCTCCGTGATATTTGAAGGATTTTGCAAATAATTTTCTATATGAAGTATCTCAGTCTCAGCAGCGTGGTGTTTTAAATAGAACTGGTTTGTCTGTACAGTTCCCACCAGTTCTATTTGAAGTACAGCACGGACAGAGCACAGCCCGGCCTTCCAGCGTGCAGTAAGCACGCATGACTCATGATCCTCAATGTCCTTTAAAGACAGACCTTCTGTAACAAATGCACATGCAGAACTACCAGTTCTATTGTTGTGTCACAGAGAGAACATGAACAGAATGAATGCTGTACCCTGCAGTAGTACACCCTGAGTAATAAAGGTCTGGAATCTCCATTTCAATGACAGGTGACCGCAGAAAATGTTTTATGAGTTCGGTTTAGGCCTAAACATTAAGCTGTTAGCATTTGTCATGGCTTTACTGGGATTTCTTCCAGAAAAATCTCTATCAACCATATTTTCTTTCATCAGAAATTTTCCTTTTAGTCTGCCTGCTCTAGTTTCATCTTCAATGGTGTATTTGTTAGATGAAATGGAAACAGTAGCTGAAATTTAGGAAATCAATACAGAACTGCCAATAACTGAAAAAGCAATTAACATGCTGAAAAATACTACTAGCAAATGAAACTGGAAGTTTAATCCTGATCTTCCCTATCCTGTCTTATTTTTTCATTAAAAAATACATTGCTAGCAAGTTTGCTGCTGCTATGGAACTGTGGAGACCAGCTGATCCGCCTGAAGTTGTGCTGCCATTCAATGGGACTTTGACAGGGGGAGAGTTGAGCAGGGAGAAACTTAATGGGGTCCAAAAAGGGCAAGTGTAGGGCCTTGCTGGGGAGGAATAACCCCAAGCACCAGCACAGATGGGTCTGACCTGCTGAAGTCAGCTGAAGGACCAGGGAGTTGTGGTGGGTGATAGGTTGTCCGTGAGTCAGCAGTGTTCCCTGGCAGCCAGAAGGGCCAATGGGCTGCTGGGGTGCATTGGGAAGATTTGGCAGTTCTGGGTTCCTCAGGACAAGAAAAGCAAGGAGCTACTGGAGAGGGTCCAGCAGAGGTCACAAAGATGATTAAAGGCCTCTCTGTTGTGAGGAGGGACTGTGGGGGCTGGGCCTGCTCCATCTGGAGAGGAGCAGACTGAGATTGGGTCTCACCAATGCATATAAATATCTCAAAGTCAGTGCCAAGGGGATGGTGCCAGACTCTCCTCAGTGGTGCCCAGTGACAGGACAAGGAGCAGTGGCCATAAACTAAAACACAGGAAATGCTACTTCAATATGTGGAAGAACTTCTCTACATAGAGAGGTTGGGAGGGCACTGGAACAGCTGCCCAAGGAGTTGATGGAGTTTGCCTCTCTGGAGACATTCAAACCCACCTGGATGTGTTCCTGTGTTCCTGGATCCAGGTGACCCTGCCTTGTCCAGGGTGTTGAACTGGATGATCTCCAGAGATTCCTTCCAACTCTAACTATTGTGTGATTCTATTGGATAATCTACACCTTACATTTATGCACAACCCAAGAATCAAACTACACACTAATAATGATTTCCCTTGTATTTAATAACTAGCTGTTCCAAAGCAAGACACAAAGCAGAGTCTTTGATTCTGCCTCTACAATACAGGGCAACATGATACTGAACCAGTTCAGATATTATTTCTTCACTGTAATGCCAAGTACACCTACCATGCAGATCTTGTTTTGGAAGTAGTATTTCTTCCAAAAAGATATGCAAGGAAGCACATTTGTCCAGTGGAAGAGCTCTGTTCACTGCATGCAGTGATGCCTCCTGGCTCCATGCCACACTACCCTACTTCTTGTTCTGTGGCTGACACAGGAAAAGATGGTTTAGATTATTCTAAGCAAGTAGTACAGACATGACTTCAACAGCTTTTCTTAGTGCAATATCTTTTCAGGAACTGAACTAGTTACAATCACATCCATTATCACAGCAGGTGAAAAAATGCCTACGCGTAGAGAAGACACTGCCTTTTTGTGCACACAAAAGGCACATCAGCATATGGGAGCACACCAGATTTTTCTCACTAATTCATTATAAAACTTACAGTTTGGTGACTTCTCACCCTCATAGAAGTTTCTCATAGGAGTGTAACTTTAACTTTTTATACAAGATACTAAGAAATTTTGTAGCTTCATACCTGTGTTATAAACGGGAACCCAGTGGTAGAATTCGTTCTGGTAGGGAACTGTATCAAATTCACTGCACTGCATCTGACGGAAGGTTGGCAAGTCTTTGTGGCAGGGGCTGATGTTACACATGCGATAGCGTTTCCTTTCTCCGGTGCAGTAGTCTCCTCCAAACTGGGGTCTAGAAAAGGAACATTGAGACTGGGACATGAGACCGTGGGTAGAAAAATAGTTACAAACTAACAACCTATTTCAGGTCCCAGTAGCACAACAAGGTGACTGAATCCTTGACAGGTTGGAGATACTGTTCACATCACTTGAGTACTCAAAAATGTCAGTATGAAGCACAGAAATCTAGACAACTCCTCTATGCCAAGAAAGTGCTTGGCATTACCTGGCTGGCTGAGCTGAGCTCACAACAAATTAACCTATCAAATGGACTTCTTTAAATCCCATACTTGCAGTGCATTTGACAGTCCTCTCTAAAAAGACAAATTACTCCTGCTGTTATTGATTTGTGAAAATGAGATGTGGAGTCTTCATGAACTCTAGATATGTAGTAGGGAATTCTGCCTTTTATGTTCTGTACCTGAAAATTCATGTGTCTGAAGCTCAAACAAAGCTGATGACTAGAACAAAACATGAAAGGTGAGTCCTCAGGATCAGATTGCTAGAAACTGTTCTTACCTGGTGTTTAAGGACATTTATTTACTCTTTGCAGTATTAATAAAGCAATATTTACACTATTTCTGCAAAGCCTAAATGTTAAATAATTTTTATTTATTTATTTATTACTGATTTTGTGTTAAAATAAGCTCTGTGGAGAGCAAGAAACACAGAGCAAGATGACTGCTATAAAAGATAAGCCAGCTGAATTTCACACAGGTATATCTAACTGGGAAGAGAGGTGTCAGTATCTGTGACATGTATTGATGTGGCTTGACCTGCTGATGACAGTCTGATATAAAAGAGTTTCCAATGTTCTAAACACCTCAAAAATCTTCAACAGAAGGTAGGGAAAGAGTGCACTCAGCTTACTCTGGATTATCACATGGCCGCTCTGCGCTTTGAACTCCTGCCCCACATGTCCTTGTGCAATGGGACCAGGACGACCAAAGGCCCCACTCGCCATGGATTGCTTCGGGAGTCTTCCCTACTGTAATGCACTCACCAGAGAAGCACCACTGAGGAGAGAAGAGAAAGCACAAAGAGCTTCAGATCATTCTCACAGGGAAATATTTCTGTGAATTACTTGTTATTTCAGATTATGAGGGTTGAACACTTAAGTGGAAATGTAAATGGAGATGTCACAGGATGACCCTCCTTCCCATTCGACAATGGCAGAGCTACTCATAGCTCCTATCTGCACTTTGGCAGGCAGCACAGCTTGCAAACAGAGTGGCTGACAGTCACCTTGTTTTCTCCACACCGAGTGCCATCCGCAGCTGCGTCCAGTTTGGAGCGGCAGGAGCCTTTCACTGAACACCAGAGCGTCTGGCAAAGGTTCTGAAAAAGAAAGAAAACTTCAGCAGTCTGAGGCAGGGCTGAACTCCCATGGCAAAGATTTTCAAAAGGTTCCCACAGTTTTGTACAGCCACTTAAAACACCTTGTAAGGGCTGTATTTCCAGAGGGATCTGGGTTTTTCACACGACAGAAACCACCAAGGGTCCAAATTCAGGTACTCATCATTACTGTGCAAAAAGGGACTATTTGAAAAATAAAAAATGGTAAATACTATCAAGTGAATTCCTTGTACTGTGTGACTTCAAATATTCTCCTATTTGGCTGCTCAGCTCCTAGATAAGCACAAGAAAAATGGCATAACAAGCTTTGGTCAATACTTTTTGCAGATAAGGTGAACAGAAAATTGAACAACTTTCATTTGAAGAGTACTAACCAATACAGTCTTCAATTTTGCATTGCTGTCTGCCTGAAAACATACAAGGAACTCAAAGAAGGCTATGGAAACCAGGCAAATACAAACAACATCATGTCTCCAACAGTACTAATGAAGGCCCCAAAACTAGATGAGGAAAAAGTGATCAGGTCTCTTAAAACATCAGCTCGGCAGATGGCAAGGAAATCATCTGAAAAAAAAAGCAGTCAGCTAGTTGGCTGAGAAAAAAGCACAGTGGGCTGGGAAGAGTGAAGGCTCTGGTTAGCGAATGTTTGCGTATTAAGCAAATCAGAAACTGGTGCCAGTTTAATGCAGTAGGCTGCCAATAAAACACAGCATTCCAGCTGCTGCTCCATGTGCAGTGGCTAAACTCCACAGAAAAGACACAAACTCCTGAGAGGCAACAAAGAAAGCAGGGCAAGAAACATTCCAGCTACTTTTTACCAAACCCACTTCACTCATTCAGAATTATTTTCTAGAAAGGGAGGACAGAGCTGGAGGACCATCTCTCCCTCTTCAGTTCCCATGCATACCAGCTTTTCTTTGGCATACAGGAACCCTGCATGCTGGGAACTCCTGACTGATCAGGACTTTTCATAAAACAACACTTCCAAGGTGGAGAAAGCAGGGCTCTCAGAGGGACTGGACACTGCCAATGGCAACAGCAGAAGCAAAAGCCCAAGTCTTGACTCAGGCTGTTTGGATGTCATAGTCCAGCTCTGGAAAAGGGAACAGAGCTGGCAGCATCAGCCTGTGAAGAAGGGACAGCTCCAAGTGTCATCAGAGAAAGGAGTTGATAAAAAGAATCCCACTAGCAGCTCCCACTGGGATTCTGAGAGTAAGCCACATCCCAGATTTGGAAGCCAACACACAAACTACGCACTTCCAAAAACACAGCCCCAGTGAGCAGGCAGCAATGTTCATCCAAGTAGGAAATGCAGAGTTTGGCTGCACATTTCTGACCTGCTTCTGTTTAAAATGGCTAAGCTTTTTGTGCTAATGGGCACAAGCTTTGAGAGAGTTCCCTTTTAGTTACTTTCTCCATTGTGTGTTTACCTTTGTTTATCAACAAGAGCACCAGAAAAAAGCTGATGGCAGGAAACATCTCAAAGCAGTCCAGCACTCCAGCTGGAATACAATGTCTGGACCTCTGCATCTTGGTTCACTGCTTCTGGGCAATGTGCACTAGACAAACATCGTTCTGCCGATCTCTGTTTATAGTTCAAGGGTAGCACTCCTTATGAAGGCCTTGTGAAGCCATCATTGACAGGTTCTTAAGGGAGAGCTACCCAAGTGCTCTGGCTGATTAATTTTCTCTCTTTATGAAAGTCATCCTTTATTTTAACTCTTGTACATAGAATATATTTTGTGGTTCTAGTGTATAAAGTGTACTCTTGCGCCATACCTCAGATGTCAGAGAAACTGGCACAGAAAACAAACACAGCTTTTCATTGGCAGTTTATTTTTTTTTATTAGGTGCGCCCATAGATTTCAAAGTCAAGGATTCACAGAGGGAACTCTTTAGCTTTGCAAGGATTTTTCCATATTGATCTCCATGCCCCAGAACTGTTTTCTCTCTCTAGGAATACTGAAACAACAGCAGTATGCAAGGATGCAGTATGTACTGCATGCCTTTGGAGGTAAAATGCAGAAATTCTTGACTCTGCTATGGACTCTCTGCAAAGCAAGTGGGTTTTCTTTTCATCAGCAGTATGATATACACTTTCCACCAAACAAATGAGAATAGGGTCTGTGCCTTGAAGAAAGTTGAATCCACAAAAACTCAGTTTCACTGAAGCCAATGAAAAGGGAGTAAGATGAGTGCTCTGATCTCCTACAGGCTGTTCTGTAGGAAGCTATGGGTCTAACTATGACTTGGAAAACTCCTCCATCTAATACATATTTTGCTTTTCTTAACCTTATTAGAGGGAAAATATTTATATACTTCACAGGACACTTTGCTGCCTAAGTACTTCATGGAATTTGCTATTTGAACTATAATTATCCATTTTTGCTAAGTGTAATCACTGAACCCCAGGGTATCTTCAGCTAAATGCAGATTGTTCTCTCAAAAAGGATCTGTGGATCAAATTCTGTCAGACATTAAAATGTACAAAACAAAAGCAGCTTGTTAGTGAGCAAGGTTAAGTAAACAGAGGAAAGACAAAAAAAGAGTCAGACCTCTTAGACAAAATGACAAAAAGACTGATGATTCAACATTCCAGGTTGACTCTGCTGTTCACAATTCCATCTCCTGCCTGTGCAACTACCAACAAAATACAGGCCTTTCAGTAAAATGCAAAATGAGATGATACCAATTAATTTTCGGACATATGTCTAGCTGCGAAATTGGTTAATCAGGAGATGCAAATGTAAAGGCCTATTAGGTTAAAACTCAAGGAGAGACAGACTGAGCCAATACTGGGAAATTACATCCTAATTTTCTATCTGTACCAACAGACAAATTACAGTAACTAAGGAAACTGTAATAGCAGGTAATGAAAGCAATCTTTCAATACCTTCTTCAGATTCAGCAGTTGTAGTTCAACGCTGGTAATCATATTATCTATTAAGGTTGAGAAGATTAATGAGAAATAATTTATCTAAGAGAAGGGTAGATGGAGATACACACAATTATCTGAATGGAATAAACAGTCAACATCAGAGTGCCCAGTCCACAGCTGTGTTCATACCATCACTGCCAGTAGCCAAAACACATCTGTGTTTGACAGGGCCACTGGGCTGGGTGCTGTCTCCAGTATTTACTGAACACTGCTGCTCAAAAGACAGGATTGATCACTTAGCTGGGTTAGCACTTGGAAGCACTGTTTGTGAGCTGCTCTATGTATAAAAATGCGGTACAGACCCAAAGAGCTCTGAACATTCTAGGTACCAGTAAAATACCATACCAAATGTACTTTAGCTAACACAACCTGTTACTCTGCAGGGCTCCACGATCTTGTGAGGGTTGCTGTGACTACACTGCTCCCTTGCATCTCCCCACAATACTGTTTTGCTATGCTGTGAGACAGACACAGGGTACTCTATGAATTAATCCCCTTCTGCATAAATATCTAATGTTCCATGCAAAAATATTGGGTTTTCAAAATAATTATTTCCCATAGGGACTGAAATATTCTTTTGTTTGTTAGATCATAAAGAGTGGGAAAAATCAGGATGTATGGGAAGAGAACACAACCCTAATTTCTTCAGCAAACTTCCTGGAACTGAAGATTAGTTCCCAGAGTGATTTGATCAATTGAAAGCATAAGGCTGAAGAATATTTTAACATTTGACTTATGTTGCATTAATCATTTACCTAAGAATTAGGATTACAAGTTTTAAACCAAAATGACTCCACTGCTGAAGGACAAGCACCTAATCATAGATATGGTTAAGATCCAGCAAAGATCTTGTGAAATACAAGGTAAACAGTGTAACCAACTTGCTTCCAGAATATGCAGAATTATGTGTGTTAGGCACTGCACATCTAGCCTATGAGACTCTAAACATGCACTTGTAAATGAGGTGCACTGAATACATTTCCATGCTGCTCAAGAACTTGGAATTCTTACTAGGAGAATAAAGAAAAACACTCAGCACTTACATCCACATCTTCACAGAATGTAGCATTGGAACCATACTGAAGCTGGCATTGGTGGTGCACATCATAGATCACACCAGGAGCAATGACTGGGGACTTCAGAACTTCTTTTTGAGGGATATCATCCAGACAGAATCCCCAACCACGACTGAAAGACAAAAAATTCTGTATTTAAGAAAACTCTCTACCACCATGGGTTTTTTTACATTTCTATACAGACTTTAGTATCTGTTTCTTATGGATCATTTTGATTATGGCCCATGTAAATAATACTTCTAGATTCCAGCCAAATTATGCTGAAATGCTACAAACAAAGTAGTTACTCTGTCAAGCAAGAGACGGTTTCAAAATGGCAAAACACAGCTTGTCAAAGCAAAAGTATCATGAGCTCAGTATGGTTTGCAGAGTGGCTTCAAGAGGCCCCAAAGTCTCTGGTTGCTGCTCCTAAAAAGAATGGAACAGACTTGAACTGTAGTCACTGAAGCCAAACACATGGCACTGTGGCCAAAGGCAAAGTCTATGAAGTTCTGTCTGTGCCCTTGATGGAAAGACTTCTTTCCTCCTGGAAACTGCAAAAAGCTGCAGATTGCACCAAAGCCAAGCCAATATGACAAAACTTGAGTTCACTTCCAGATTACAAGACTATACAGAGCTTTTCCCAAATAAGTAAGCAACAGGACAGTGGTATGTCCGCCCCGGAAATTAATTCAAGCACAGTAAAACCCCCTGCAATTATCAGAACAATAACAGAAGATGTACTTTCAACTCCAGCACAGTTGTGCTCAGTTTAGGCAAATGCTACAACCTGATCACTCACTCGAGGAACCGTGTGATGTACTCCTTGCTGCACTGTGACCAGGTGAGTGGAGTGGGATCATACTGCAGCTGTCGGGACATAATGTACGGGCGCTTTCCAGCAGGCTCACAGTCGTTCTCCTTTCCGTCATGCTGGATTCCAAAACTGGATACAAAAAACAACGTCTAAAAATTACAGCTGGTTCTCTGTACCACAACACCTATCTACAGGTTCCACTCCGCTTAAAGACACTTACATTGCTTCCTCCCCTGCAGAGCTGTAGTTATATTTTTGCTAAAAGAAAATTCACACATAGAATATATGACCCCAAATCTATGAAAAATATACAACCCCACAGGATTTCAAATATGTCTGTTATGCACAGCAATACTGCCCTGCACAAAATAAAGAACAGACTGTCAAAGACTATATTTTTGTACTTTTAAGGAAGTCCAAACACTAGTGCATAGTTGGGGCAGAAATCACAGTTAAAACCTAAAAGTTATGTTACAGCTGTTACAGCTAAGACTGCTTCCCAACTCTTAAAATCAAACTTAACACCACTTTAACTAAGATGAGGCTTTGTTACATTCTGTCTTAGATTCTCTTATAATTATGTCTCTACTGCTTTTTTATTTATAGAACTTTTGATAGACTGCACCAGAGATACGGTTTACAAAATTACTGAATGTTCAGTGAATGTGCCTCCAACCTCTATTTTTTCATCTTATTTAATTTTATCAATCTATGCAAACAGATCTCCATAGCAGGTTCTCTCCAGCATCCCTGACTTGCTGAGAAATTTTTTTATTCAACAGCTTGCAGAAGTCATAAACACAAAAGTTTGGATGGGATTCGACTGAATAAATTCACATGCCTCTTCATCACCTCAGTGTAAGAATTATCTGAAATAATAACATACGAAGTCATTGATATATGAAGATGTTGACACCTACATTGTTAACATCTAAAGATGTTAAGATGCAAGTCCTAAGAGCAGTGAGAGCTTACTCAGGTCATGATTCAGTCACGAATCAGATAAAGTATGTTCAAATTAATTAAGACTGTGTTTCTCAAAAATGTAATCATATCATGACTCAAAAGTTCTGAAAGCAGAGCTAATTTCAGTCAGAATCAATTCCAGTAATGAGTCAGAAGCATAAATGATCCATAAAGGATCTCCCCTTTCTGACAGGCTCTTTCCCACAAAGAGAATTTGTTGAATCCTAAGGCTGCAAACATCTGGAGGGACAGTGTGGGGAAGAGCTGACTTTTGGTATTCACCTATGGAATAGGAGCATTTCTGTCTTCTTACTTTTTGTTTATCTGTTCTTGCAAACTTATCTATACCTGAACTTCTCAGTGTGTGTACACTAACCTGGCTTGAGGTTAACAGGGTGACAACAAACCCTACAGTATACAACATTCCTTATGGAGACAGTCCTTAAGGAAAGGCCCTGCACCACTCCTGCAAGGGCAAGTACTGCAGTTCTGAGCCTCACAGCACCCAAAGGTCCCAGAGTCACCAGCCAGCCAGGCTAGACAAGGAGAAGGTCACACATGGATCAATCTATGGGGAAGAAGTCTCTTCAGATCATTAGTGTGAATGAAAACAGCTCCTTGCCAGCAGCAGGCTATGGGGACCAAAATACTTAAAGCCACAGCACCCAGATCCAATCATAGTGATTTCAGCGTTTACTTATATACTTATATTTCCTTTCTGGCAATGGAGAGGTTGAATAAAGAGTGGCCAATTAATGGGCAACAGGCTTATTGCCATCATCATCATCATCATCATCATCATCATCATCATCATCATCATCACCATCATTATATCCTATCAGGAAATAGAGACTCCATCCTGATTGGTACTGGGTGCACAGTGAAATTAATGTGATTCTAGATAAAACAATGAACATGTGCCTTAGGCAAGCAACACAGACCAGTTGAAAAGTGCAGGCATTACAGTCAAACCAGAGTATCCATAACGCTCTGCCCTGAGGAGAAGAGATGTGCCAAAACAGTTTCAAAAAAGCTTTTTTTTAAGCAACTTAATAAACCATCTAACTAGCCAAAACACCTTAAAATCTAAAGTTCTGACAAATATAGTTCAAACAAAAATACCAAATTATTAAAAAAATAACAAAAAATTAACCATGTCTAAAACTAAATATCTAGGAACTTTATTTACCTTGACCTAAGGGTACTCACAATAGCAGTATTATACAGAAAATACCACTTACTAAGAATACCCTAAAAAGATTTTACTGGTTCATATAAATAAATAAATAAATAAATACATACATACATACATACACTCTATTAAAAGATTAATTTATGTTTTTCTCTATGAGTTTCACTATATGAGTTAAAAATGTTTTCCAGCTAATCTGCACTACTGAAATGCCAAGACATAATGAGACAGGTTTGTTTTCTGTAAATGTTTTGTAAATCTCCAGGATTGACCTGGAGTTTATCTAAAGTAATTGCACAGAAATGTAGCACATGCTAGGAAAAATTAGCACGATTGCATGCTGCTTCTTTGTAGCTTAATTATTCCATCCTGTCATACTGAATAGTTGTATGTAAAACACAGGTCAAAGGCTTAGGAATTTATTTCTTATTTCTTTGCTTTGAATTAAGTTTTGATTTTAATAGCAGAAACATTAACTCACTTTTGGTTTTGTTTCTGTCTCACAATTTGAGTATTAACATGAAAGTAACAAATCAGACTCAGACAAGTTCCCCCTTCCCCGTACCTGTGTCCAAGTTCATGAGCAATAGTGAAAGCCAAGGGAAGGCCAGAGTCCTCATTGATGTTGCAGCTCCTGTGAGGCTGACACATGCCTGACAGGTGAGACAGGCCCAAGGTTTCACAGGGACGGTTCATGCCAGCACAAATGTCCTTTCTAGAATCACAAAAGAGATGTGCCATTTAAAGCCCTTAAAACCAACTGCAGTGTCACTGACACTGGTTAGCAAGCTTCCATCTTAAAATGTGCTAATTCACATTTTAAATAAATCATAGGGGTGAGTCTTTTACAAATGTGCAGAACGACATGCACTTGTTCTACTCTATCATTATACTGCCATAATTTGTAGCCAGTATATATGTGGCTGTAGTGCCTAGATATATACACTTATTGTCAACTCACACAAGTCAAAGTTTTAGAAGCTCCACATCTGACAGCATTTTAAAGCATGGTTTATCAAAGTCACCATAGCTCAGCTTCATTCAAGCGAACTGAGTGCTTTATATTTGACAAGTTAAATCTCACATCACTGTCAGACTTCACATTCTTACTTTAAGATTTAGACCATAGACCCAATATTTTCTGCCACCTGTGTGAAGACTGAATCAATTTTTACAGACCTGCAGAAGTCCCATTTCATGCCATGACATAGATTCCCTCCATAGCCTCAGACAACCTCACTTTCAACTTTTCCATTCCTCCCTTGCTTGGACGTCAAAAATGTTTTGTGCCTCCTTAAAGAAGGAGATATTTAAAAATTGTATGTTTTAAAGCTTAAAAATGAATGGCACCATGTTTGCACAATGCTCTTCCTTTCTGAGCTGCCCCTGCACATTTCTTCAGGAGCTGTTCATCTACATGCTACCTTGTTTTGGTATATTGTCTTAAAGAAGAATAGAGCAATCACTGAGCACAAAATGAGACAGGATCAAGTGGGGAAAATAACCTGAGCTGCAGAAATTGCTCATCTTTCAGGACCCAAAAATCTCTGTTTTGTGACTAAGATGCATCTCTAACCCTTGTGCACACATAGTGTCATAAATACTTTGACCACGTTTCTGAGCTCTGTGCAGGATGAATTAAGCGATGGCATGAGCCTATAAAGGAAATATCATCACCAAAGAAATGCAGCTGAACAACAGTCAGTCACTGCTGTCATACCTGGTAAGAAGGACAGCCACATCATGGTGTGTGGGGTTGACATCACTCTTGGGATTGACACTCTTCTGCCACTTGCAGAAGCTGGCTAATGTCTTATCAGCATGGTGCACTATCTTCAAGCCTTGCTAATGGGAAATGAAGGAATATATTACTGTAAAGACCACACTGCATTGCAGTAACACTTCAGTGAAGTCAGTTGTGAAAATGGGTAATCCAAATGTAATCGATTACGCTTTTGCCTAAAGCTAGAGCCATCATTAGGAGCAATGACACCTATTTATCTAACACTGAATATTAAGTTAAAATGCTGACATTTCTGTAATTGGTCCAGCTAAAGGAAAAATTACAAAATGCAGAACTATACATACATTTTGATAAATGAGCTTCATAAGAACCAACACTAAACTGAAACTTTAAAACATTTTATATTCTCTTGAAATCAAATTTTCCGCTGAAGAGAAGGTGAAGATTACTTATTCTGGGACTTTGTGATCAAATTTGTTTTCCAATGTTATGTGAACACTGTCATATTCAGACAACAATTATGCTTCTAACAGAGTATTTATTTCACGATATTTTTCAATTCCAAAGAGAAACAATGCAGTCATAAATGTTTCTTTCTCAACTTATTATTATACGGTTTACATGTAAATTACTGAAAAACTTAAATAAAAAGTATGCAAAATAAATTCATTCAAAACTGAATTTTCTAATTTCTGGTCTTGGACACTCACTTTATCTTGCCTCAGTTTGCTTCATTTTTAACAAGCATCGAAGTATGGGATTAACTGTTACCAGACAGTTATTTCTGGGGAACTTAAAAACAAATTTTGAAAAGTATTTAACACTGTTACTTCCAACATTGCTACTCCTCCACTGAACGGGAATCCACGCTTTTTATCCAAACAGCCACAGAAGTTTAGCAAATGCAGTTAACTGGAGGTCATACTGGATCTCAGGTACTAATTGTCCTGCTTAGGTGCAAGCTCAAGCTTTTGTCCCACTTATACTTACACTGAGAGCTATTTGGGCAGACTCTATCCCAACAAATATTTCTGAAGACATAGCCTTGAGGTCTGGTGTAGTGCCTTCAATAGCACTGGAACCATCTGGCTTGTGGTTATAAATTTTAAGCCACTGAGAAAATCCCTTTAAAGTGTTTCTCTGGTCAGAGCTAGCTATATCATGCACAGCATTTAAAAAATAACCATAAAATCATGACAATCAGTGTATATTTAAGCACATAGTAACACATTTGTGAAACAGAGACATTGGAAACTACCACTATACAGCTAATTACAGCAATTAACATTTACTTTGTCCTCATTTTCCTTTGTTTCAGAAGAGATTTTAAAAGGTAAAAAAAATGTGTTTCAACTGCACATTAAGAGATTGACCTCTTCAGAGAACTGCAAATAGCACAGCGCTACAGCTAGTGAGACATGTCAGACAATATTAGAAAATTAAATCCTGAATGTTGATGTGTAGTTTCTGTTACTCATCTAGTCTTCTTTGGCATCCCATGTTCTTCTGACACAGGGGGAGATTCCATTTCCCCATTCTTAACCTGCCTGTTTTAATTACATTTTCCTATGCAATTTTATGCAGAAATACCTGAAGTCATCAGCTAAAATACTTTGCTATCTGGTGCAGCATTTAGTCTAAAACTAGACATGTTAAAAGTTAACAACAGAGTAAGTTTAAAACATGATTTTAAGCAAATAAGATTACAGCTCGATGCATTGAACCCAAAAGATTTGTAAGTGATATTTGGAGGTCAATAAAAACCTTACCTCCACCTCCTCAAAGAGGATGAGCCGGACCAGCACAATGTGAATGGCATTGCCAATGCTTGGATCATGGAACAGCCCTGTGACCTATGCCAGAACCAGGAGACATGAGATTAACTGATTCCTCTATAGCAGAACACAATTTCAAAGAGAAAATACATTTACTTCTAGCACAATGTTGATCTGAGTTTTGTTCTGATTATTTTAAATTCTTGAATCACTGAAGGTTTACTGAAATGCAATAAATATTACAGCTATCTAACACTGCCAAATGAATGATGATACAGGACTTGGCAAAAGTTACTAAGCTAAAGAGAAAAAGCCCAAACATGAAGAGAAAAGCCAAAAATGTTACATTATTTCCCTTTAAAATTTTCTGAGTTCATAAAAACACTAGCAGAAAAGAACACAACATCTACAGTCATACAACACTGATGGAGAGGTCCACTCAGGGTGCAAATAAACCAGCATATCAAATCATCCTGTTTTAAATGAACAGGATTCTGTTGCAAAAAAGCAAAATATAGTTAGTACTAAGCAAAGAGAAATTAGTTGAATGATGGCTACTCCTGTGTTTTCAGAGTAGAGGAGAGGATGATAAGAACAAAAGCAAAGATAATGACTCCATTCAAAAAAGACTCCACATAAAAAGAGCAAGAACTGAACTCTGCAAAAATGTGACCCAATTGTTACAAACATCATCACAATGCTGAATTAGACAGGAGGAAAAGGAATCAGAGCAGAAGATAATCACAACCTATCCATACATATCTATATATGTGACCTATGCCATCTATCACAGGAAATATGAAAGAACAAAATGGATTGCCTTCAGGTCAAAACTGTAATGGAGAAGACCACTAAAGGAGAAAATACCAAAATGAAGTAGATATTGTGTTTACAGAGGTCTGATTTGGGTATGGATCTTTTTCCAGGTACTCTACTGAAAATTGGAACATTTTAAGTAACCATAATATCTAAGGTCAGACTGCAGAGAAAATGTTGAGTCTTGTTTGTTCCTGAACCTGATAATGACTGGGTTTTATTCCAAGCATTTTCCCCTGTGTGGATAAAACCTCACGTGCTTGAACAACCTTTGTACCTGTTTACTCAGGCCCATTGCCTCAGCAGGAAGTCAGACTGCTCGGGGCACAGCTGGGAATGCACTGTAGAGACAGACCAGTCACCATGGATAGAATTACACTCTGATTACTTCCACATATATTGTATATTTTCATGATAACCATGCAGAACACATCCTCAATATACTCTCAAGCTCACTATCTACCATGACACACATAATATTGGTAACAGGTATTAATAACAGAAGACATATCTATGGGCAGATGCTATGGCTTTTCCCAGAACAACTTATATTTTGAAACTTGCCAAAAGTTCAATTTTTCTTTATTCCAGTGTGAACTTTGCACTCCAAGAATACTTATCTGGAAAAACAGTTGTATTGGCTTCAACTGGGACAGTTGACTTGATTCATAATAACTCATACATTGCTGTTTGGATTTGTGACCAGAACAGTAACAAGCTGTTAGTTGTTTTTTTAGTTTTTGCAAAGGTACTACGATTTCCAGAAGGCTCCTGTGTGCCTTTCTCATCCGCAAATGTGTGAAAGAATTCATATGCATAAAACCTGTAGAATTTCTCTCTGCCATAGCCAAAAATCTGAAATCACCACTGGGCAAAAGGTTGCAAGGGAGACAGAGAATTTCAGTGGAAAAAAATCTAGCGCTAGAATTTATAGCTATGGGACTTCTCTCACATAAATCCAGAGAAATATTGTGCGTATATAAAATACGAGGTAAAAAATACTTAAAAATGCAGAGTTTCAATTCATATATATTAATGATACATTTTTCTCCATGAGCAATGCTGCAGACCTGTCAGAAGAACAGCAGCATAATCAAATTCAGATTTGTTTCATTCGTCTATCTAAAAAACCTAAAATATTGTACATACCATATTCATTATAGTGAGGATATATGACTCCACATGGTCACTTCCATGATATTCAACCATTTTACTGTCTGCAACCACAAGCGTCTCCACCCATCGCTCCTTGCTGACAGAGCGCCGAGAAACCCTTCTGGCAGCTGCATGGTTTTGTTCCCATCTCTCCCTCCAATGCTGCTGCTGTTTGAAAAAGCTCTGGGTATCTGGAAGAGTAAAAAACAGTGCTGTCTTGAACACATTTTCAAGCTTGAACTGTATGGCTGTAACACTTACAAGGATGATACTGGTTGCCACCCACCTGACCCACTGCAGGGGTAACTCCAAAGTGATACCAGATTGCTAAGGGCCCTGTCCAGTGAAGTTCTGAATTTCCTGAGATGGATTAAACATGCATCAAAAAGTCACCCCACTCAAACACAAGGGATTACATTGTGAGACAGAGCCAAGCTTAAAAAAATTGAATTGGGGATGCCCTTTTCAAGGAGTTTCTCTCCTGTGGTTTGGCTCTAACCTCCCTAATGACACCAGATGATAGTTTAAGGGATATGCTTTCTTCACGGGCAGCTCATTTTCTCATCAGGACGGCACATTAAGTCCAGTGCTTTGGCACATCCAAGAATGCCTTGTTCTGTGCATGGAGAATATCCCTGACAAATGGGGACACTTGACCAGCAGGTGTCATCTAAATACCAGCAGGGCAGCCATCCTGCCTGATGACAGGACAGACATTGCTTCTACTGTAATTTTGGGATCTGTTGCTTTTCAGAAAGAAGTCTTTGCTCTGCAAGGCTGCTAGCAACCTTGTACTGTGTTCAGTGGGGCTAATGCATCTCCACTCTCTAGCTTTGAATGCCAGCTTTACATGTTACCAGAAAAATACCAGAGACTTAAATAATGCAGGGCCTGAAAAGCAGATGAGATGCCAGTTTGACAGCAACTGATGGCATTTTTCCAAACCATAACCTGAGAAATGCTTCTAGAGTGGTGGGATTTCTCGAGTCCTACCAAGGATCAGGAGCACTTGTTTCTGTTACATGTATTGCAGTAGTCCCTTGTCTTCTCACTCATGAAAGAGGATGTCCTAATTCCAGATGGGACACATCTGTAGGCCAGAAAGACACTCCAAGTGCTTGCAGCCTTTCCAGCATCACCTCCATGGCTGTGTGGGAGGGGACAGGTATCCAGCACTACCTCCACATCCTGCAGTACCCAGGGCTGAGGAGCAGTTACCCAGACACTCTGCCCTTGAAGAATGGACAATCTGGCAGCTGGGTCCCAAGCCTTGTGTTCACGCCAGCTACACCTTTGGCATGAATGAGCTGTTTGCCCTTTAGACCCAAGGGCAGACAGAATAATCACGGCATCTTGTGTACCTAACAAAATGTGACACCACCACTGGATGTGTGTACCTCTAAGTAAGTATCTTGGTTTACAAATTCAGGTTTTCAGAAGTGCGTTCTCTGACGTCAGCCTGAAAGATGCCTCAATCCTGGTAACACATAATGTGTACAATTGAAATATGCCACATTAATAAACAGAATAGGACCGGCCACATTTAGAACTGAGCCACCACGCACAAGTGTGCTATACACAACAGCAATGAGCTATCACTGCTATAACCTGTACCCTAACCCCGCTAACCCACACAGCAGCACCACTCCAGCTGTCTCCCTCAATCTTTGTTCAGTTCCAGCAACCATCTGCTCAATGAGGGGCTATTTATGAGCTGGTATTCATTAACCTCCCTTGCACATTTCCACGGTTTTCAGCATTCTTATTTCTATGAAGCACAGTTCTCATTATCTAAATTTTTAAGGGTTTTGTGCTGAGAAAAACCTTTCCCACAGCTATCTGAACAAAAAACTCCATTCAGACTGCTGGTTAAGTGCTTTGTTTATGGCCAAATAAAACCTCAGGCCAGCTGTCAGGTTTTCTGTTTACAGCTAGCAAAAAGTATTGCTAGTTGTCTGGGCAGCTGATAGCACTGGAGGTAAAAATGTTTAAAGTCATAGAGACTGCAGTGGTGAACAACCCTCAGGGAAAAGTCTGGAGCTCTGGTTAAGCATGAGGCTCTGTAATGCATGAAAATCTGAGAAAAGGTGAAAATGAAGGCCATATAGCCAAAGGATGCTGCAGAAAAACTCTCATCAGTGATGGACAACTTCCTGTACAGGGTACATCACCTGGACAGGTGACATCTAAGGACTGGATCCCCACTGTGTGAAGTCTCCTGGCAGCTTCTTTAGTTAGACAAAACAGAGATGGATAACCTCTTGGAGCCACATAATACAGGCTAAATACAGGCTAAAATACAGGCAGCCACAAAGTACAGTTCTGCTTTTATGTCTCTCCAAATTTCAACTTTCTCTTTTAACCATCTAACTGTGAAGTTAAATAACCTTATCTTGCTTTTACCTTCAGTGAGTAAAATGCTACTAGTGATTTCAGATTTACTGATAAACACAAGCACCCTGTTGTCCAGGCATGATTTGACTTGACTTGATTGGGAGCCTACCAGTTCAGGACTATCCAAGAAGTGAGGAATGGCTTGAGACTAGGAACACAGGCTGAGCAAAGCCTCTCTTCCATCATAACTGCTGGGCACAGCTCATTCCACAAGGAACTGAAGAGAGAAAGGGGTAGTCCTACTCTGAGGGCTTCCATGCATTTCTGAAGAAGAGGGATAACACAGACAGGAATAATGCTGGAGTCCTTAGGAACAGAAAAGGAATGTAGTGCTGAGGGAGTAGCCAGGACAGTCTAAGACTAAACGAACACAAGGTTGGTAAGAGATTCACGTAACAAACTGAATAAAATGCAAGCAGCAATACTCAGAAGTTTCTAGCTGTTGTGGGAGATAATTTTGCAGATGTGAAGCTTTCATTAGAAAAACTGATTCAGCCCAACAAGTAACATACCATGTCCCAACATAGATATGTGATATCCAGACATTTGACTGCACAACAAGAAGAAAGGGTGTAGATGACAACATTTCATCAATTTCTAGATAGAAATGGCTGATAAACTTCAGCAAAATGGCTGAGTTTTAAGATCAAGTTCCAAATTGTTTTTAGTGAAAATAAAAATATCCCTTGAAACTACCCAGAAATCCTACTTGACTAACAACATAAAAGACCCTTAATTTTCAGCTACTAGGAAAGATTTTAAGTTATCTGTAAGATTCAACCATATAAGAAAAAAAGCAATCTTCCACAAATTTCTTCAGGACAGTTTAAAGCTGTATGGTTTCTGTATATTAAAGAAAAGTTCTACCTTCTAACAAATCTATTTAATTTTTCATCAGATGACAACATTCTTTACCAGTCCTTTTTAAGAAAGAGTTTTCTATCTTTAACTATCAATGATCTAACCTCTAAAAAAACCCCACATAAGTTCTTCTTCACTTTGAACAACTCATCCATTCAAAATGAGCTTGATTGTTAAGCAGTTAATTTCTGCTTGCCTTCCACCACTCCAAACCCCCTTAAAGAGCAAACATGACTCACCTCACTTAAAGGCATTATCTGAGATTTCCACAGAAAAGGTTTTTCCTGCTTTTGTTTCCTGCTGGTGTTGCTCAAAGGAGAGTGCAGCATACAGTACAACATTGTGTGCAAGGGGATCTCAGGGTGCTAACTACACATAGCCAGCTTTCAACATCTTTGGAGGTACACAGGGCTTTGCAGAAGCAAGGTGAAAATGTCTGGAAGTTCCCAGAAGAGGAGAATGACTGAGTTGTAGAGGAGAACTCTACAACTGAAGACTGTCACACAAAATATAGTAGCATTGATTTGTGTCCTCACTTTCTACTCTCAGCTCCCTTCTCTCTGCGCAAGAGCTCTGTCATTTTTGCCACTCTGTAATGTTCACAGTCAAAATACTACAGCCCCAGACAGGAGGTGTGAATATGCTAGACGAATAAATTCCACACTGTTCATGTAACTTGCTACATTATGACTCTTCCAAAAACCTTCACTTTGTTCTAATGCATGCTGTTAGTTTAAGTATTAACAAAATTATACTGTTTAGGGGTGAGTTTTTCAAGAGGTCAACAACTTGTGTTGAAACACAACCACTGTACAAGCAATATTCTCTTTCACTCATAAGTGAACAACTTTCATAGCTGATCTATTGCAATAATTTACTAATTTTTTACAAATCAAATGCACTAAGAAATCTTCTTCCCCTGTTCTAACTACCCCCCCTGAAATAAACATGGTAGCTTTGTACACACAGGATCTACTTATAAACAGATAAAACAAAGTCTGGATGATGACAATGTGAGAGTAAGGACTCACATGCTAAAATGGGAAAACTCTTGTAAAAAAACAAAGCAATTCTGTGAATTTAAAACTGGACAGATAACCAAAACAGCTCTTTTTATAAGCATTTCTAAAACAGGCCAAGCTAAGTCACACAAATGTTTTCTGAGTGTGAAGAAGTGTTCACACAGGAAACTATTACAACTACTTAATCACATACAAGCCCATGCTGACAACCCCCAAGTCCCAGCAAAAACAAGCACAGAGAAAGAAAGATTACAACTCAGCAAGGTTTGTTTAACTTTGACATTCCTGCTGTCAAAAATGTGGCGTATCAAACAGTGAAGTCACACCACTCTGAAGTAGAATGAAGCTAAAATCGGACCTGTCTTGACTGATGAACTTAATCAGATACTGCTGCTGAGTGCCTGCTGATCATTACCAATCAGGCTGTAACGATGGAATGATAGATGTGCTGGGCATCAGGAGGTACACAGAGAACAATGTAGTGGGAGACATATGCCTGAAGTTTCCTGTGTTTTGCCTCAATGACTGTCCTTCTGACTGAATGTTCTTATTTTTTTACCCAGGAATTAAAGCCAAGTCAGTAAGGGACAATTAAAAATTATAGCTGTGTCAGATGTTTTCCTAGGACTACATTACTCCATGTAATTTGAACTTTCAATGCTCATTCACTTGGCAACTTTAGTGTCTTGTGCCTTTTATTTTGGTGAAAACATTAATGTAATTAATTAGAAGAATAAGGTGACATTTCTATGAATTAATCTAGCTCTTGATAAAATGGTATCTTTATACAATTTAACTTGCAGCACAACTATATTATAATTTAAAGAAAAACAAGTATCATATAAAACAGAATACACTCACTGTGAAACAAATTTGCAGATTACAAATTGAATTATGCAGATTACAATGAATTA